TGATCTGATGCATTTCAAAACTCAAGAATTTAAATTACATGGAAAATGAAGCTACTGCGGTAGTGGACCAGTGGTCCACTGGTCCTCCGCCGCAATAAAATAATAATCACCATTTTTGTTTGCTTTCGTACATGTGGAGTTTATATCAATGTTATTTAGTCGGTCAATGATAAATTATAGGTATTTAAAGTGTAGCATCAATCTATAGTAGCTAGTACTGATGATATATACAAGGGAGATCACAAAACTAAGAACTCAGAGCACGCAAGAAAATAGTCTGCAGTAATTTCTTTATGCATGCATTTGTGTGAGTTTATATCAACGCTACTTTCTTAGTTTTCGGATTTTGAGTCTTAAGAAAATGATAAGTGTACTCAGAACTAACTCGATCCGCTAGATACTTTTTATATATAGTTGAATAAAAGTCAAACACACCACTGAGTTTTACTCAAAAAATTAAAGAATAAAGGTCAAATAGGTCACTCAACTGCGCACTTAATAGCAATTAGACCATCGAACTAAAAAAGAATGCAATTAGATCCCTGGACAACGCAATCTCATGTAATTCTATCCAAAAATAACCTGTTTACCTGGAGATCCGGTTACCGAATTTAATTTAAAACTATATTTTTAAATAATTTTTTTTTTAAAAAAAAAAACTACGGCATCTCCGCCGGAGACGAAGGGATCTTCATCTCAGGCCGTCTCCCTGGCCGGGGAGACGGCCCAAAAGACGAAGCCGTCACTTTGTCTCCGGCGGAGACAGCCCAAGACGAAACCGCCACTTCGTCTCCGGCGGGCAACTCTCAGGCTGTCTCTCCGGCCATGGAGACGGCCATGGACAAAAGTGGCTTCGTCTCAGGGCGTCTCCATGGCCGGGGAGACGGCCCAAGACGAAGCCACCACTTCGTCTCCGCTAAAGACGAAGCCACCACTTCATCTCCGCCGGAGACGAAGTGGCAGGCAACTCTCAGGCCGTCTCCCTGGCCATGGAGACGGACTGAGACGAAGGTGGCTTTGTCTCAGGCCGTTTCCATGGCTGGGGAGACGGCCCAAGACGAAGCCATCCCTTCGTCTCCGGCAGTTCTTCTTCATCTGCGGCGGAGACGAATGGTTTTTTTTTTTTTTTTTAAATTAAAATTTTTATTTTTATTTAAAATTATTTAAAAAATATTTAAAAAAATTAGGTAACCACCTTTTTAGGTAAACAGGTCAATTTGGATTGAATTGCATGCATTTGCGTTGTTCAGGGATCCAATTGCATTCTTTTTGAGTTCGATGGCCCAATTGCAATTTGGTGTGCAGTTGAGTGGTCTATTTGACCCTTATTCCAAAAATTAATTAACCTCTTAAATTTTCAAAATTTGCAATTTAACTTATAAACATATTATTTTGGAGAGCATTGAAGCCCAAAAATTGATTGGTGACTTGTAATTGCAATTCACTAGGGTTCTGACGAACCTCTGATCAATTTCCGGCGACAAACACCGACGAACATCATTGGTAAGGTGTTGGCCCGACCAATAAGAATAATGGAAATCTATTGGGCTAAGGAAAGAATTGAAGAAAGCCTGGAGCAAAACAATAACAAAAAGTGCTACCAGGGGGTATAGAAACCCACAACCTCTAGTGACTAGTATATAACAACCTAAGCATCAACTGCACTCAAATCACTTAAGATATCACATACATACAAGAAGGTAGGATGCTTTATTTACCCGTGTGGAGATTGTTGATATCCAGGTAGTGGGGGACACATGTATGGCAAATTTTGAAGGCAAAGCCGATGTCTACATTTGTTAACTATCCAGAAGGTCTTCAACAATATACAAGACACCTTGCCTCCCCTTAAAGATCATATCTCTTGAATCATAATAACCTCCCTAGCTTGGTGGTTTTTGGTCCTACCACTAGGGTTCGATTCCTAGCAACAACATTATTATTTCTAGTCCACTATTTGGGCTATAGCTTGTATTATTTATTACATCATATTTTATCTTTTGGGCTGATATCTCGAGCTTTGTATGCATTCTTTTGGGTCTTAGCGCCCTGAGCAATAAAACTACGGAGTATTTTCTTATCCATAATTTTGTACTTCCATACCTGATTTATAGTAGACCCGGCCTCGACAAAAGTCACAAAACCATTATTGGTGTTGTCCGTGGGGATTGGAAAATGCTACGAAAAGCACGTGTTTCTACCCATTTTACAATTTCCCTTATGGCGTGTTTGATTCATGCAATAGATCAGGAATGTAATAGCATTCTTTGGAATAGACTTATTCCATTGTTTGATTCGGTCACTTTGTCATGGGAATACCATTCCTAGGAATGAGCTATTTCCTTTGTAAAAGGAATAGTCATTCTTAAGGGGCCTTGGTATTAGCTATTCCTATTCTCTTGGGAATAGCTTTTATACTACAAATACCAAAAATATCAGTTGCATACATAATTATATATATATATATATATATATATATATATATATATATATATATATAATTATTATGCATACATATACACATGTATGTTTGTTTATATCTGAGTTGTTTTCAATTAATAACTCTTTAATATGAATATTTATATATTTTTATTATAATATGGAGAAATAATTATTATTGTTGTTGTTGTTATTATCTCTCTCTCACACATACACATACATGTATATAAATGTTTTGTCGGGTCGGGGTGTGGGGAGCCCTTGGGGTTGGGGTTCAACCTTTTGGAAAAATAAATAAAGCCAAAGACCTTGTAATCGAGCGGCATAGTTGTGGCTTCTCAAATGAGAGGTCTCATGTTCAAACCTACTACATTGTAATAAAGTCAGCTGTACAATTAGAAAATGACATCTAATGAGGGAAAGATTAGAGGCGTCTATAACATTACTCTATCAAAATTATACACCATTTTTAAAGTTTATGTATGTAACTGAAACTATTTAAAGTTTAAGAAATTTACATAAATAAAGACTTTTTTTAAAATAACATCAACGCACACTGGTAGGATCCAGTAAAGACTAAAACATTGTTAAAGTTATGCACTTATTGAAGTAGGATCCAGTAAAGACTAAATCGTGGACGGCAGGATTCGAACCTGCGCGGGCAGAGCCCACATGATTTCTAGTCATGCCCGATAACCACTCCGGCACGTCCACTTATATGTTATTGTCATTCTAATTATATTATTCGTAGTGCATACAAGAGGGCAGACATTCTGTTTGTCATTGATTTTCAAAATTTTATTTCAATTTTAAGCTATTTTATGAATTAAATGTGCAACTAGTGTAAAGGGTAGGGAACAACTGGGGTAGGGTTATGACTCATGAAATTTCGTTCTGTAGTGTGATATTTTTCTTATTTTACGTCCAATGTTTAAAAGATTATTTTTATTTTATTTTTTTCATCTTTTTTAATTTCAAAGTTTAAAAAGTAAAAAAGGGGAGGATAATGACTTTTATTATTTCAAAAAAAAAAGACTTTTATTATTATTATTATTATTATTATTATTATTATTATTATTATTATTATTATTATTATTAGAGAATTTGAATTTAATAAATATGATAGTGAGATTAAAAAAAAAAAAATATCAACCAAATACCTCACTAATCATTACACAATATTAAAAGTAGATGGTTCAATAATACAAGGGTTTCTCAACTTCTGTATGTTAAGTCTACATGTGGCTGATTTTACATTTAAGTCTTTTATGTGCTCTAATATTATTTTTGTAGACTTGCTTAGATATAACTCCTCCCTACTTCTCCTCTCTTGTATTTTACTATATATAGTTTGTAAACCTTTCTTCATGAATGTCAATTACAGTTTTTCCCTAGCCTTGACAGGGAATGATACTGCCTGGCTTGATCGCTTTGTGAGGACCTTGTCGGCCCAGTTTGCTCTCAAAGACCTCGGCTCCTTACACCATTTCCTGGGTGTTGAGGTAATTCCTACTATTGAAGGAGTATTTTTGTCACACCAGTAAATCACTGATATCCTAACACAGTTCAAGATGGATGGTACAAAGGATGTTTCAACACCACTGGCTGCTTCTGAGAAGTTGTTACCGTCACAGTCGCCCAATGTCATGACTGATGCTACTCAGTATCGTCGCCTGCTAGGTGTGATGCAATACTTGGTGATCACGCGGCCTGATTTGGCGTTTGCAGTCAATCGACTGTTGCAGTTCATGCACCTCACCTACGGATCATCACTGGCAGGCTGCAAAATGGCTTCTTCGCTACCTCAAAGGTACAGTGTGCCATTGCCTATTCCTCCGGGCTAGCCAACCGCTGTCACTACGTGTGTTCACTGATTCTGATTAGGGAGGTTGCACTACTGATGATCGTTCTACTACCGCATATTTGGTGTATCTGGGCGATAACCTCATTTTCTGGAAGTCCGCGAGACAGAAGTCTGTTGTCTCGCGTTCGTCGACTGAAGCTGAGTACCGGGCCTTGGCCAATGCCGTAGCAGAAGTTCTTTGGATTAGAAACTTGTTACAAGAACTCATGTTGAGTCTAGTTAAGCCTCCAGTCATATTTTGTGACAACCTGAGCGCCACGTATGTTTATAAAAATTCAGTCTTCCACTCTCGCATGAAGCATATGGCTTTGGACTACTTTTTTGTTTGGGATCGGATTTGGTTGCCACTGGTGCGCTGGTTGTACAACACATTCCCTCTTCTGCTCAGCTGGCTGATCTTCTCACCAAGCCGCTTGGTCGTCACTTGTTTCTTCAGTTTCAGTCTAAGATAGGAGTCTCCCGACGAATCTTCAATCTTGCAGGAGCGTGCTAAGCGTACATGTGGCTGATATTGCATTTAGTCTTTTATATGCTCTAATATTATTCTTGTAGACTAGCTTAGTTATAACTCCTCCCTACTTCTCTCTTGTATTACTATATATAGTATGTAAACCTTTCTTCATGAATGTAAGTACAGTTTCTCCCTAGCCTTTACACTATATTCATTGTGAATACATACTATGTGCAATGAATAATGTTATTAAATATGATATGCTAGTTGACATTTTATATAAAATAATGACGTATTTTTGTATCAAAGTCTACAATACAAAGTGGATACTGGTCCAGAATATAATTTGCAAATAGGTATGTATGAGGTATTGAGGCAAATGGGCTTACATGCCCAGATATATATTACAATGCAAGCTAAGGTTCCCAATTATGTGATGCAATGCAAACCAAATTGCAAAATGATCACTTATTCTTGAGAGCCATTAATTAATTAAGTAGTCCACAGTACAAGACAAACCAGCATCATATCATATCTGCTTCAATTCGCATGGGTACCAGAAGTTGAGGAACACATCAGATCATTGCTTCCTAGCTTGAAAACCTACACCAAATCTGCCTGCAAAACCAACCATTCCAATCAAAACACAACTATAAATATGCCCAAAGTCCATCACATATTCACATGATAATCTGATTTTAGACAATTCTAAAACGTTTTTCGTTTGAACTTACCACATCGAGGGAATGAAAGATGGGGTTTGATTTCGGCAATGGCTCAGCAACTAAAATGTAATAGTAACCCATGACCCCGGTATGCATTTGGACATTGCTATAATTCGATATAATAGTTAGCTTCTCCATTGGAGCAATCTTGACCGAGCCAGGTTGAGGGTAACAGGTTGACATTCCAACGAGGTAACCATCTTCATTTCCTGCTTCTGTTCCGTTCCCATAAATTGGAAACGAATCGCACAGAACCCGTCCATCCTAAAGCATTAATATTGCACTGTATCAGTCCATTAGAATGGAACTAACATGTTATATTACTAGTACCTCTCCAAAAAGAGTAGAACCAAGAACCTAACGAGTTCTTGCCCGACCCCCTTGGTTTGATCGAGCCAGCAGTCAGCTATGGGTAACCTAGGCTGGTTTACTTCCTTGTGGCCCTTTGTCGACTAAGGCCGCAGGATAAAAAACAGAACGAGTACCTCTCCAAAAAGCGTAGAGCCAGCCCCGCCAACGTGTTGATGAGCGACAGCATAGATGAGATCCCCGCCTTTTGGCAAGCTTACGGTTAAGCTTTTGGAATGAACACATTCATCAGCAGCGGCCGCAGCAGCAGCAGCAGAACATGCATCAACTCGATATTCAATCTGAATAAAGATACATACTTCAACAACTATATACATCATCCATCTTCATATAACACTACAATTTCAATCAACTAACAGCAATTATGGCATATAATCACCTGGCAACGGTGTCTTCCCCGGACTGAATCAGACGATTCCAATGTATCCGTGACATCAAACAGATAAACTTTGACAGGCACAATCGAGGGGTTCCAATCAACATAAGTGACAGTGTACTTAAGGTATAAGCCTCTCTTTTCGCCCCGAAACCCTCCTTTCACTCTGCATCTCCCCCCATCATAGCAACATCTAAGCCCTCCAACATAATCATCACCAATGGGCATCCCATACTCATCTTCTGTCACATTATACATCTCACACCTGCACTCGATGCACCCCATCTTATCCTCTGCGCCCCGAGTATCAATCGCATGTACATTCAGCAGCCATCCTTCCCCAAACCCCGGGGGCGGATTACCTGTTGAGATTAAACAAGAACAAGAAAAATAATAGTGGCTGAAAGTAAAGAAGACAAGATTTACGTGGTTCGGCAATGTGCCTACATCCACCGGAGTGAAAGTATTCTTTTATTATTTGTGATGGTGATCCAGGTGATGAGATACATTCAATATATTTATAAGCATATAATCTCTCTTTCCCTCCTATTCCTGAGACAAACTCATATTCTTAATCCTTATGAGACAAACACATGCAACAAATCTCCACCTTGGCGAATATGCTCTTTAGGAGAAAAGATAACTCAACATTACCTATTTCAATTCCATAACCATCCGGGATATGTGTGTCTGTCTTTCGTGTCTCCGATCCAAGCCCAAAATACTGTGGAAGCTCTGCACAAACCCCTGAGTTCCATACAAGAGTTGCTGTCTCATTATAATGCTCCTTTTGAGCTTCAACACCTTTGGGTATCATTAATTTCCCCACAACCCAGTGGTGAAGATAGGTTTCATGAAGTGGGATAGAATTCCCTTCCTCATCAACTACCTCGGCATCAAAACCTCGGACACCAATATGACCTCTCGGAAAGTCGATACCATAAAAGAATTTGTTACAAACAGATCCTGGTTCCAACTCAAACCTAGGAGATAGCAAAGTTTCCACTTTCACCCCATTCTCCTCATCAATTCTTAGACTACGTTGTGAGCTGCAAACAGTCATTGTCAACAGCAAGATTGTTCCTAGCCACAGCAACCTGCCACACCACATCCTTATCTGCAATTTTTAAACATAAATTTCCAACAAATTAAACCAAAAATTAACTCGATCACCGGAAATTATGAAATTTCCGACCACCTGAAAGTGATCTTAAATCAAGTCGAAAGCTTTGTTCCGACCACTTTTGGTATCCGGAAAAACCTTTGTTGCTATTTTTGACCACTTTTTGCTTTCGACTTGATTTAAGATCACTTTCAGGTGGTCGGAAATTCCATAATTTCCAGCAGTGACTATATATAGCAACGATTTTTAGTTCGAACTAGACAAACATTGATCTAATCTAATGTTTCCAATTACAAAAATTTGTACTTATCAATGAAGATAGATGAGAGAGCTGCTGAGAGCATACCTGACTTGAACAGTAAATCTTATCAAGAAATTGAGAGATAATAATGAGGAAGAACTTCAGTACAGCACGATTTAAATTGCTACCAAAATGACTGTCTGGTCGGAAATGGCACACGTAATAAATTGCAGTGTTGTCGCAACTTCTGGGCCATGCAAAATAGCAATGCCTCAGGAGGAAAGTTCAACACGATAGGAAAAGTTTCAATGATTTTGGTACATATAACAATGACCAGGCATGCATTTTCATGCTAATAGTAAAAATTATTTTAGCCCACACAAGCTTAGCTCACTTAGTTTCAGTAAGTAATATTTGGGACAAGATTTACATTTTTTCAAATACTCTGTTAGGTCTTGGGGCTAGGTATTCAGCCTTGGGAGAAATAAAAATTATTTTTATTTAAATGACGATAATATTAGTTATCTAGTAATTAACTTCTTATATTTGTGTATTAGTTTATATAACACAGATGGAGTCAAACTAGTGAGATAAGATCATATCCTGCACTCCTACACCCAATAAGTGGGAAATGATTGGTTAAGTTTTACTTTGTTGGTCACTATTATGGCTCTGTTAAATGTGGACAAAAATTAGAAAATGATTGATGCATAATATAAATAATGTTGGAATAGGAATATTTGCCCCACTTTACTTTTTACATGACAAATAAGAGCTACTCCTACCAAAGGTTCCTTGTCTTTGGTGTTGATTTTAAATTTAGTCTTAGATTATTATTTTTGTCATTTAATATCTCTAGATTATTATTTTTTGGACACTTTTAGTCCTTCTCATCACTTTTTCTATTTTTAGTAAGAACATTTTTGTCTCTTCATATTTTTCTTTTATTATTTTTCCGATTTAATTGGTTTATAACTTTAGGTAACCTTTGATTTTTAATAATAATATTTTTCAATCGGTTTTTAGTAATAATATTTTTCAACCGGTTTTTAGTAAAGTTCTAAACCAAATAAACCGGTTGAAAGCAGAAAAATAACATAAGAAAAAGAATTAATTTCACTTTTGGTCCCACGACTTTTGAGTTCTTATCACTTTCGGTGCACAACTTTAAATTTTTTCAATTTTGGTGCATAACTTTGTTATTTTTATCAGTTTTGGTCCTTCCAGCCAAATTGACTGTAAAATATTTCTGAATTTTATATGTTAGGTGCAAAATCGTCATTCTGGAAAGATCTTCAATATTTAAACAAAAGAAAAAATCATATTAAGAGGAAAAGAAGAGTTTGCCAATGGTCGAAACTATAAATCCCATAGATCTGTCTAGTTTCTGCCCATCTTCCCCATTATTCTCATCATCAAACACCTATAGATATGATTTTACGGTGATTTTGTTTAGATACTGAAGATGTTTCCTTGGGATGACGATTTTACCCCTAACAATATAAAATCCAGCAACATTTCGCTGTCAATTTGGCCGAAAGGACCAAAACTGATAAAAATAACAAAGTCAGGCATCAAAATTAAAAAATTTTAAAGTTGTGCACCAAAAGTGATAGAATATCAAAAGTTGTGGGACCAAAAGTGAAATTAATTCTAAGAAAAATGTGAAAAGATAAAAATTCCCTTACTAAAAAAAAAAAAAATTCATGAAAAGGACTAAAAATGTCCAAAAATAATAGTCTAGGGATGTTAAATGACAAAAATAATAGTCTGGAACTAAATTTGGAATTGTCACCAAACACAAGGGATCTCTACTGGAATTAAATCTGACAAATAATTATTGATTGCTAGTAAAGTTTTTTTTTTTTTTTTTTTTTTTTTTTTTTTTTTTAAAATTTGAAATAAAGAGTCCAAGAGAAGAGTGAATAGTAGCGTAGATAATATAGAGTGTAGACTGAGGTTTTGAACCCTAGACTAAGAAAACACTTTTTTTTTTAAAATTTATCTAAAAGCGTAGATTCTTATGTTTTTAAGATTCAATCTCAAAAAGGAGTTGTAGATTCCTTATATTTTGAAGACAAGTTGTTTAATGCTTTACTCTTTTTTGTTTTTATTATGATGTCTTATTTTAATATCTTTATTACTTTATTTGCTAAAATCATGAGTGAGTAGTCGTATTTAGGATTTGAGTTGAGGTTGATATGAGATTTTAATGTTTATTTGATATCTATTGCATAAAAGTGGTTAAAAAAAAAAAAAAAAACAATCTAGGGTTCCATTATTTGGTAGGCAAGAATAGAAGTGTTTGGTAGATATGAAAATTGAGAGGGAAGAAGTGATATATAGACTAAAATGCCTTTATAATGATAATAATAACAACTCCCTTTTTTGGTAAAGAGGAAAGGGTAGGATTGTCCATACAACACCTTTTTCCTTCTCATCTAGATTGGAATTGCAATTCTTGGGGGAGGGATAGGGTTTTCAATTCCATGGAAACAGAAAATTGTAATTCCGTGGAATTACAATTCCATCTAAGCAAACAATGTAATTTTACATGTTAAAGAATTAAGTAGGAAAGGACTTTCAATTCCTTCCAACCAAATAACCAGTTAAATGAGAAAAAAAATTAAGAAATGATTGATGTATAATATAATAAATGTGGAATAGTACTATTTGCCCCCCTCCACTTTTTACATGACAAATAATTATTGATTGATAGTCGTAGTTGTTAGTTATTAGTTTTGGCATAAATTCACCATTTTATGTGCTTCATTATATCATATATACGAGGAATAAAACAAGTATTAAAGTTATCAACAAGTAATTAAATGCTTAAGATATTTGTATTTTAATTGTATACTAACTTTTATATTAGAGTCAAATAATATGACATGCTTAAGGACTTTGGTATTTATAATTCTATAAAAATGTAGTAGAGTCAAATAAATTTTACATTTTTAGTTAGGACTTCATAATTCAATGATTTTATATAAATTTAAAGTATATTTGGAAATTAAAAGTTTATTGTCGCATAAGAACCTTTATGTGCCACTAGGCGTCGAATATCTCTAATATGTTAAATCATATTAACATTAGTTTGACATATTGTATATAATAGCTATTACTATATAATGATAATGATATTTGAAAATAGTTTTAGATTTTTCATTTGCTTAAAATGCTAATATTTAAAAACAAATATTAGCGCCAAGCACTTTAGGCGTTCGTATTTGACAAGTACAGACGCATAACATTTTCTAAAAAATAAAATAAACAAATACTTTAGGTGTCTATTCTTGGTTAAGAACAAACGCATAAAGTATTTTAATTTTTTTTTAAATTATGCATGTAAGGTACGTAGTTCAGCTTCTTAAAGTTAGTACTTTTCGACAGTTTTCACATTTATGTCATACGTATGTGTCTGTGGACTGTGGTAGTACATGCGTGAATTATCTTCTATTATTTGGTCATTTTTATTTGTACTAGTGTATAGCTATATATTAGAGGTCGTGATGCACTTTTGTGGCTTGAGAATGTTCAAGCCCAATTCAATGTTTTTTTGTGACTTGGATAGAAGATTAGTTCATAACTTCTACTTAATTAGTTAATATTCTAGAATGAAGATCCATCTACTTTGGTATACACCAATTAATCATCCCTAAGGGTTCATCTCTCAACACAACATTCAAGCGCCCCAAGTCAATCAAATAATCGATCAATCAAATGACCTTTCAAAGTTAGAACCAAATATGAGCAAATTGAGCAAAAGTCATTCCAAACTTTCACAATCGGCTCCAAAGACGACCCAATTAAGCAATGTAATGGTATGATATACAAGTCTCTCCTTGCATTTCTAGAACTTCCTCAATTCAAACAATACTACCAAAACACAAAATTTTGTACACTTATGCACTTTGGTGCATTTATTTGTTTAGGATACGAGGCAAACTTACCCTTTTCTTTTTAATTTCCCTCTCAAATATGATAGTTTAGACTCTTTTAGTTGTTTAAAATTGTCTCCCCCATATCCTAACAATTCTCTTGTCTCTTTTATTTTTTGGAGAAGGTGTTCACACAGGCCCACATAGAAAGAAAGACTCTCTGCATCTTGACTTGTTTCATATCGAGAAAGTATTTTCCCATGTCATACCATCTTACAAGCTGCATACCAATCTTGTGCCAAAATTCCCATTTGAGATGCAAGCTAAGGTCCAAAGATCAATCACTTGAATTGAATGAAAAAGGAATGGAGCTTAATGTGAATTGTGTGCAATTGTGGCTCTAAAACAACCTCACAAATGGTTAAAGAAATTTATTCTCTTTTTTTTTTTTTTTTTTTTTTTTTTTGTACAATAAACTTGTCAATAAGCCACTCCAAAGACATAGACAATCAAAGACACAAACAAGAAATGATTGAATCATCTAAATGCATGCACAATGTATATATTTATCCAAACATTGAGATTTGAGAATTATGGTAACAAATGACTAGCTCACACACAAGTGTACCACTTTCCACACTTTAGAAAGAACATGGTTCTGATGTTCAAAAGAAAGATAAACAACGGAAAATAAAGGGGTAACACAAGAGGGAAGGGCAAAACAAAAAATTCCCTTTTCATACTTTAGAAGTACGTGTGTGTGGGGAAGTGCAACAAGATTTTCCCTTTCAACACATTAGAAGTGTGTGCTGAAAGGTGCACAATAAATGGTAACAAACAATCACGAAATTAAGGAATAAGGATTATAAGGTAAGGGATTCCCTCAAATGAGTTTGATGGATGGAGGTTGGTTCCCACAATCAAACCATATCCCTTATGTTGAGAAAATAACAGCAAAAGTTCAAACACTGCTACCAATCCCCCTCGACAACGACTCAATTTAATGAAAAGTATTTTTACAGGTTCTCTTAAGAATTGATGATAGATGTAGAGCTTATGTATCTTAACCACAAGATACACAATATAATCTTCTTGTGGCCGGAAATCTAGCCCTCAATAAAAGATGATTGATGCTAATAACAAACAAATAAGCACAAGTGTAATGAATGGCAATAATACGCTGCAGTTGCATTTTTTTTTTAACAAAAATTTATTTTTAAGAATTTTATTGGTTATTAATTATTATTATTATTATTATTATTATTATATAAATTTAAAATATATTATTATTTAATTTTAAAAAGCGTGTTACATGCATGTAAAATAGGTTAACTATACTTATTTTTTAATTAAGTTGAGTGCCGGGTTAAAATTTTTATAATTTAAGAAATGAATTGCAATCTTGCAATAAAATAGATTATACATATTTTTTTAAAATTGAGTGTGTAATTAAAATTCTTATAATTTAAGAGATGAATGAATTGAAATCTCTCAATAAAATAGATAATTATAGTACGGAATTTTTTATTTTTTTTTTAAAGTTGAGTGTGTGATTGAAAGTTGTGTAATTTAAGAGCTAAATTGCAATATGGAAAATTAAATAGTTAAATAAATAAACAAAAAAAATTGTCGTACTGAGGCAGATGCATTGCATGCTACAGGCCCACAGTGGTAGTTCCGCCCAGAAACTCACTTAAATACTGCTCTACTCAAGTTCTTGCTTCTTCATCCCTCTCTTCAACATTTAATTTTCAAGCCGGGTATGTATGCTAGCTCTCTCATCTATCTTCAATTCATTGATTTTTTATTTTTATTTTTCCTTTTCCTTAATTAGCTTTTATATATAGAAAATAATAATAAGGTGATAACCAACCATAACGTGCAAACTGTAAACTTCTGAAGGATTACACCCCAACTACTACATGATTGCATGATACGGCTCCCATACATGTTTGAAAGACTCTGTGGTGCAATTGTATTCGAGTGCGGTGCAATCATATAGTAAATGCAGTGCAATCCTTCAGAAGTTCGCAAGTTCAACACATTAAAGGCCCGTTTGTACTTGATTATGGACACACACACACACACACACATATATATTATATATATATATAGTTAGTTAGTTAGTTAGGTTCCCGTGTAGATGGGGCTTCCTGTGCGGTCGTGCTGTCACTCATCTTAGATTCGCATAAATGCACCACAAAGTGTTCAACAATGCACTATTAGGTGTAATGATATTTTGATGTGTAGTGCATTTGTGCATTTCATTCGGGTAAATCTCCGAACATTGTGTGGTGCATTTATACATACCCAATGGTTCAATTCGCACCTACCGTACGAAGCCCTGTCCAGCACCCTGGGCGGAGGCTGAGAAAGGCCAAGTTCAGCACCTAATGTCTCAAAAATGTTATCGCCGGTCTATAAAGTTGCGCCTACGCTACGAGCTTGATCCTTGCTTTAATTTGTCAGGTCCAGTAAAAATCAAATAAGGATGTGGCAGCTAGCAATAATCATGGTGTTGACAATGGCTGTCTCTACTTCACAACGTAGCATAAGAATCGACGAGAACGGGATGAAAGTGGAGACATTGCGGTCTCCTAGGTTTGAGCTGGAGCCAGGAGAGGTTTGCGACAAATTCTTTTACCGTGTAGACTTCCCCAAAGGCCACATCGCAGTGAAAAAGTTTTTTGCAGAAATAGTCGATGATGAAGGGAACTCCATCCCACTTCATGAAACTTATATGCACCATTGGATTTTCGCCAGAATATTGATCCCCAAAGGCGTCAAGCCTTCAAGGGAGACAGTAGCCATTGTGGGAAACTCAGGCGTTTGTGCTCAACTCCCCCAACATTTCGGGCTGGGATCCGAGACGAGAAAAACCAACACAGATGTTCCAGATCCTTACGGGATCGAAGTAGGTCGCCCTGCGCCTGCCGGGTTCGATGAAGGGTGGCTGCTTAATGTACACGCGATTGATACCCGCGGTGGAGAGGATAAGATGGGGTGCGCGGAGTGCAGGTGTGATCTCTATAATAGAACTGTAGAAGTTGAAGGGAAGAATTATCTTGGAGGCATTATGTGTTGCTTTGATGGGATGAGATGCAGACTGAGACAAGGGTTTCATGGTGGAAAGAGAGGGCTTCACTTACAATATACTGTCACTTATGTTGATTGGAACCCCTCCATTGTGCCTGTCAACATTTATATATTTGATGTCACTGATACTTTGAAATGGTTTGATAAAGCCCGGACCAGACACGCTTGCCAAGTAAGTCCATAACCAGGTAAGAACCAATCTTAACCTGCGAAATGCGAAGTTGTGAAGGATTGCAATCATCACTGCTGGAAATTGTGGAATTTTCGACCACATTATTGGAAATTATGGAATTTTCGACCACCTGAAAGTTATCTTAAATCAAGTCGAAAGCCTGACCACTTTTGGTATCGGAAAAACCTTTGCTGCTATTTCCGACCACTTTTTGCTTTCAACTTGATTGAATATCACTTTCAGGTGGTCGGAAATTCCTTAATTTCTAGTAGTGCCACTTGAAAGTGATATTAAATCAAGTCGAAAGCCTTTCGAGCACTCTTGGTATCCGGGAAAACCTTTGTTGCTATTTCTGACCACTTTTTGCTTTCGACTTGATTTAAGATCACTTTCAGGTGGTCGGAAATTCCATAATTTCCAGCAGTGCATGTAGTAGTAAGGGTGCAATCATTCACAAGTTCGCAGTTAGCAAGTTAAAGTTGGTTCTCGCCTGATTAGAAATTTATATTTATATTTATATTTATATACTAGGGTTTAGAAGAAGACTTATTATTTATATATATAGTAGTTGTAGGTTGAAGTATCTTTAATTAATTTATTGTGATTCAGCTGGAGTACCAAGTTGATAATGCATGTTCTGCTGCTACGCCTGCTAATGAATGTGTTCATTCCAAAAGCTTAACCGTAAGTTTGCCAAAGGGTGGGGATCTCATCTATGGTGTTGCTCACCAACACTCTTCAGCTCTTGGCTCTACCCTTTTTGGAGAGGTACGTATAGTATGTATGTACTCTGTTAAGATCAAGTGTTTATCACTACGTCAAAAGCTATAACTTGTAGAAAAGGCGCAACTTTATATTTTCTTATACTGTCACACATTTTTGAAATGCTGGGTGCTGAACTATTTGGCCCTTTTAAGTATTTTATTGGCCTCTGCCCAACAATTCTCCAGCCACAGGGTGCTAAACTTCATCATATCTAGATTGTTTCCATCTTCCACTACTTATTATGTTTTTAGCTAGAATTGAATGTTTGCTAGCTAGCTAGCTACTTAATTAATTGTGTATACATACAATGAATGCTTTAGGATGGACGGGTTCTATGCAACTCATTTCCAATATATGGAAACGGAACGGAACCCGGAAATGAAGATGGTTACCTTGTTGGAATGACGACCTGTTATCCTCGACCTGGCTCAGTCAAGATTGCTCCAAACGAGAAGTTAACTATTATATCAAACTATAGCAATTTCCACATGCATTCAGGGGTCATGGGCTACTTTTACATTTTAGTTGCTGATCCATTGCCAGAATCAAACCCCATTTTTCATTCCCACCACCTCCCTGGTAAGATCTAGCTTCCTCTTCCAGTTTAGTTGCTGATGAGCCATTTTATTTAGGCATATTTAGTTCTCTTTTGATTTGAATTGGAATGGTTGGTTTTTGCAGGGAGATCTGGTGTAGGCCGGCTTTCAAGCTCGGAATGAAGACATGATCTGATCTTATGTGTTCCTCAACTTTGATCTGGTATCCATGCGATTTGAATTGAGAAGATCCATATATATATATATAATATATATATATGATGCTGCTGTTGTGTCTTGTGGACTCCATACTTCTTTAATAAAGTATGTATGGTAGTTATTATAATAATAATAATAAAGTGGATATGGTACTTTATGTCAACTTTTGCTTTATAATTAATTTTTTTTTAAATAAAAGAGCTAATTCATTAATCATACGATGAAAAGTTTATAATAAGATTGATGGAATTATAAAACATTCTTACAATATAATCAGACATTGAAACAAATTTCCAATGTTACACGAAACTTGAATCTATGACTGTTTTTCAAGATTGAAGCTGAATTCGTTTGGAAAACCTGAAGCTTCTTTGATATTGTTAATGATCTTGTTACCCAAGTCTGACTCTGTTGCGGCTCTTAATATCTATATTATTCTGAACTGCATATCAAGGTTCAGATCTTCTTCGGTACTCGGGATGAAGCAAACATACTCCATTATCAGATAAATTATTTCACCTTATGAAAAAAGAACTCGCCAAAGATGAAAACTCGCTAAAGACACGATAGGAAATAACTCGCAAACGAAATGAGAGGGAATAACTTTAACAAAACAACATATGAAAATCAAATCTAAAACAGGCAAAACAAATCCTAAACACTAATAGGAACCAGTACACATGGAATCCAGTAAGGGTAAATAGTGGGCTCATCACAAGGCCCATAACTACGACCTTAAAACATCATTGGTGGAAGAAACAACAAAGACCAATAATAAGTCCATTCGATAGAGGAAAATATTATAGTGGCCAATTTCAAGTGATATCATGGATCGAAGACAATGCTTACAAGATTCGAGGTCGAATCATTTTCAAGAAGGGGAGGATGATGCGACCCAACATATGAAGATCCATTAAGAGTACTAATTGGGCCAATCACAAGGCCCAAGTCCAAACAATTAAGGCAACTCTTCATTGGTGATGTTCAAAGATGGTGGAAATCCAAGTCAAGCCCATTTGCAAAATATGAAGAAGAACTCAAGGCTTTTTTATAATTGTTTAAGTGCTCATTTTGGTGATTAAATTAGACCCAAATCAGCCCTATTATTTTTGGTCATCATTAATTTAAATTGTTTGGAATTAAAGAGAAAACACTAGTTGTATTTAGAAAGGATTCCTTAAATCCTTTTCTAAATAAAACTCTATTTACTTGTTTTCTAGATTAGGTTTAGGACTCTTTTTTCCATTGTATTTAGAATTATAATGCTACCCCTATACCTATAAATAGGGCACATCCATATCAGTTTCAAGGAGGCTTGAATTCAATAAAATTCTTAAGTTTTTTCTTTACACTTGTGTAAGAAACCTTATGGCTAATTGTGGACTCAATTAGTGGCTAGTCGTGGACTCGACTAGCAAATTGATTCGTGGACTCGAATCAATCTTACTTTCTTCAACCTTAGATTTAGGTTCGTGGACTCGTTCTTGAATCGAAGGAAACTAGATCCGACTCTAGTTGATTGAAGATTGCAACATCAAGGTACTTGAAGCTACATGGGATTCTTCCAAGTCTTTGAGGATTCGAGACAAAGGGTTTCTCGTGAGGTTTAAGGTATTTTGATCCATCTCTATCTTTATTTTGAGAGCACTCTTGGGACAATACACCATCTTATTTGAATCTTGGATTAGGTTCATATCAATTTGGTATTCAGAGCCTAGGTTTGTCTCATTATCATTTGAAATTTGGTTTCTTTGGTTCCCTAGGTTTATCGTTCTTATCTTACATACTACTTTTTTCGTGTCTTATTCATTAAAAAAAACCCCCAAAAATTTTCTTTTGCATTCTTGATTGTGTTCTTGAATCTTGATACATGTTCTCCAGTTTCTTGAAAAACAATCCCGAAAGTGTTTTCCCTTTTTCCTGTCCAATATCAACGAGACCTCACACCTCCCAAGCACCATATTACCACATATTCTGACAAGAAAACAACCCCATCTCACTCTTACCTATATCCAAAGCGCATTTACGCGCAATCACACCCTGTCCAGATTTCCGCGAGCTGTGACCAGTTTCAAAGAATTACCTATATCTTGAGATCCACCGGTTAGTTTTATCTGAAATTTTGATATGTTTTAGATCTCTTCTGGGGCGTTCTTTTGATATATTATACACTGTCTAATTCCTTCTGGTTAGTGAGTTATTGATCTTCAAAGTCAGAGCATTGTTTCTGTTTTTCTGGGCGATTCTTGAAATTCTTGATTCTCTTTTGAAGGGGTTGTGTGGTTCCTCTTGGTCCAAAATTTTTGTTGTTATTTACAGTAGTTATTTGGAGGTTACCTATCAAAAAAAGTTTTAAAAAATCAAGAAACTTGAAAAAAAAAAAAAAGAGAAAGCAATAAAGAAGAAGAATAAGGTTGGGGAAAGAATTTGGCTGGTAGGAGAATTTTGGAGGGACAAGGAAGGGGGAAAAGTATAAGGTTGGAAGGAGTTCTTGATCGATTCCTAATTGGTTGTGGTACACGTGAACCCCTTTTATATGCTATTTGTCTCTATCTTTTGATATTGGTCTTGCATATCTTTCTGCCATACTTCCTTCTTTGGTTTCCTTTTTCTTTCAAATCTTGTTTAGTTTCATTGCTTGTATTGTCCTTTTTCTTTGCTTCTTGCTCTCAATTTTATTACCTACCTCGCGATACACCTTACTCTCAAAGGCTTGTGAAGTTTTCCAAGGTACGTTTTCATGAACTTTGAGGTTGAATCCATATCAACTTGAGTTCCGGACTAGAATTTTCCTTTTTGGAAAAAGGCTTGTGAGAGTATCTGCCACCTTGAGCGATACACGAGTGGAGTGTGTGTTTGTAAGAGTGTGTAGTGCACCCCTAGAGCCATATAATCCACCTCTTACCTGCAAGCTGAGAATAGCGAGGGAGCGAGCCAACTTTTTGGTTTCACTAACATAAATACTCACATATCTTCTTGTTTTTAGATTTTTTTTTTCCTATACAGATGGCTGAACAAGTTCCAAACCTGCCCCAGACATTAGAACAAAAGATAGACAGGTTACTCAAACGAATAAATAATCTGGAGCAACACCCTCAGCAAGTGCAATCGATACACAATGATCAGCAATATTTGCCACCGGCAGGAAGAGTGGATCCTAGATGTCAAAGGATCCAACCGCGTAATGCGGAGTTAGGAAACATTAAACTTGAAATTCCTAACTTCACCGGTGAGAAAGGACCTACCGAATACATAGAATGGGAGAATGCTATTGAAACTCTTTTTTATTTAAAGCACTATTCTGATCTTACAAAAATTAGGATAGTTGCTACATCTTTTACGGGATATGCATTATCTTGGTGGCGAAAAAGAAATAGAGAGAGAGTTGCTAATTTTATTCCCTATGAATCTTGGGTTCAAGTGAGGGAAGATATGCGCCTAACCTTTTGTCCTAAATCTTTTTTCTATGATTTTGAAAGAAAATTGCAGGAAACGGTGCAAGGAAAAAAGTCAGTTGATGAGTACTACCAAACTATAAGTATTTTGCTTAAACAGGGAGACATACTTGAAGAAGAGACAAAAACTGTTGCTCGTTTCGTACAGGGATTGAACTTAGAAATTCGATGTGGAATGAGTTTTCAGAGATATGACACCCTTTATGAAGCCCTGTATGCTGCACGTGAATCTGAGGCAAAAATCAAAGAGATGAAAATGTACAAGTCCAACAATGGTGCATCAAGATGGAACAACACTTGTTCCACCCCTCAAAGGCGTGATGAACATCCTCCTCCAAAAGATGATTCATGAGACAAAGGTAAGGAAAAGGTAAGTGAGGCAATGAGGCCTCAACATGATAGAGAATTGATTTGTTATAGATGTAATGGGAGAGGCCACATAGCTTGTGATTGCCCTAACAAGAGGGTAATTAAGATAACAACACAATCTGAAAATTTTACTTCTTGTCTTGAATATAAATCTGAGGATAAGGTATGTGACCATTTTGAAACCCCCAGTGAACATGTTGAGGGAGAACCATGCATACCTTTAGATTTTGATTATGAATATGCTGATAATGAGTCTAGTCAAACTCTTGTTGTTAAGGAGGTTTTGAATGTTCACCCTATAAAAGAAGATGAGTCTCAAACTGAAAATATAATTTGTGCTAAAGAGTCAATTAGAGGGAATGCTTGTACTGTGGTAATAGATTCTGGAAGTTGCAATGTGGCTAGTGCAGCTATGGTTAAATTTCTTCAGGCACCTTTGTTCGATCACTTGATTCCTTATCATTTTCAATGGTTAACTGATGCAGGAGAAGTTAGAGTAATCAAACAGGTTCTTATTCCTTTATCTATTAATAGTTACTCTGATGAAATCTTGTGTGATAATATCCCAATGCAGGCTGCTCATATCTTGTTAGGTAGACCATGTCAATTTGATAGAAAAATAAGTTCTAATGGAATGAGGAACACATATGTGTTTCACATGAACGGAGTTAGATATGTCTTGTCTTCTTTGTCTCCTAAACAAGTAGAAGAAATTCAATTGAGGTTGACGCAAGCTCTCAAACCAGCCTCGAAGAAAGAAGAAATCAAAGAGAGAAAAGTGGAACTTCCATGTTTGGAATTGAAATCACCACTCCAATCCTCTAACTCAGTTTGTAGCCAAACAAAAGGACCACAGTCAGTGATACAGTGGAAAGGACCAGCCCATGGTGTCAAAGTGCAACCTCTCTTGGTAACTAAAAAGGATAGTAAGCAAGAGAAAAGAAGGGGAGTCACTTTCTACTCACTTTTATTTCAAAGGATGCATTAAAATTCTCTAGATTTCTTTGCCATATTTCTATTAATGCCTTACTTGCTAGATGTGTTAGAAATTTGTTTGCCTCCATACATCCAAGATTCCTTAATTTTGATTTTACTAAAACTTTATTTGATAGAGATAAGGAATCACTTGGAAGTTATAAGGCACTTTTGAAAACTTCTTATGGCAAATACTACTTGCACAAGGGGTTTTGGTTCAAAATCAATGGGATTGGCACTTTTTGCTTTGTTTTGGACAATGATTTAATTGTTGATTTACATAAGGGACATTTTGATTTTCCAAAGACTGATGATGTTTTGCATGGATATTTTCATTGGCCAAAGAAGAAAAAAGATGTAGAATCTTATGTTCAGAATTGTGCTACTTACCACCATAATACATCTAAATCATTAATTGATATTTCCATGAATTTTCTGTTTGATTTTACCTTAAGCTCTAGGAGGAAAGATTTTATGCTTGTTGACAATTCAAACAAGATGCATAAATTTAATAAGTCTCATTTTGTTGAATTATTACCATCCAGAATGTTTAAATTCCCTGATGTGTCATTACACTTAATTGCCTTACTTGTTGATTGTGGGATGATGATTGGAGCGACTCGTGTCAAGCATCCCAAGAAAAAGTTTCATGACCGTGATAAAACAGAAAGTGAGCTTGCTACTTTGTCTTTCACTGAAGATTTGGATTCGAGGACGAATCCTTTTCAAGAATGGGAGAATAATAGGAACCAGTACACATGGAATCCAGTAAGGGTAAATAGTGGGCTCATCACAAGGCCCATAACTACGACCTTAAAACATCATTGGTGGAAGAAACAACAAAGACCAATAATAAGTCCATTCGATAGAGGAAAATATTATAGTGGCCAATTTCAAGTGATATCATGGATCGAAGACAATGCTTACAAGATTCGAGGTCGAATCATTTTCAAGAAGGGGAGGATGATGCGGCTCAACATATGAAGATCCATTAAGAGTACTAATTGGGCCAATCACAAGGCCCAAGTCCAAACAATTAAGACAACTCTTCATTGGTGATGTTCAAAGATGGTGGAAATCCAAGTCAAGCCCATTTGCAAAATATGAAGAAGAACTCAAGGCTTTTTTATAATTGTTTAAGTGCTCATTTTGGTGATTAAATTAGGCCCAAATCAGCCCTATTATTTTTGGTCATCATTAATTTAAATTGTTTGGAATTAAAGAGAAAACACTAGTTGTATTTAGAAAGGATTCCTTAAATCCTTTTCTAAATAAAACTCTATTTACTTGTTTTCTATATTAGGTTTAGGACTCTTTTTTCCATTGTATTTATAATTATAATGCTACCCCTATACCTATAAATAGGGCACATCCATATCAGTTTCAAGGAGGCTTGAATTCAATAAAATTCTTAAATTTTTTCTTTACACTTGTGTAAGAAACCTTATGGCTAATTGTGGACTCAATTAGTGGCTAGTCGTGGACTCGACTAGCAAATTGATTCATGGACTCGAATCAATCTTACTTTCTTCAACCTTAGATTTAGGTTCGTGGACTCGTTCTTGAATCGAAGGAAACTAGATCCGACTCTAGTTGATTGAAGATTGCAACATCAAGGTACTTGAAGCTACATGGGATTCTTCCAAGTCTTTGAGGATTCGAGACAAAGGGTTTCTCGTGAGGTTTAAGGTATTTTGATCCATCTCTATCTTTATTTTGAGAGCACTCTTGGGACAATACACCATCTTATTTGAATCTTGGATTAGTTTCATATCAAACACCAAACCCTAACTAATATATATATATATATATATATATATATATATATATATATATATAATATAAAATTTATTGAACCGCTGAAAAAAGGTAAAGAAGCTTGGATATGGAGTTAGAGATGGCGAGGGACGGTGGTGAAGGAGGAAGAAACGTCGATGAGGAGTCGGAGGAGATGGTGGCAGTGGAAGAGAGCGGGAAGAGGTGCCGACAGCGGAGGAGAGGCCGAAGGACAGCCAATTGAGAGACGGTCGGAGTAAGGGAAGAAACGAGAGGAGGTCGGCGCCGCCTCCATAAAACAAGCGGAGGCGGCGGCTGATCAATGAAGGATGAAGGAAAACCCTTCCAGAGAGAATGTGGAGGATGAGGGAAAGAAAATCTCAACCCAAAAGTGCTTTATAATTAATTAGTCTTGTGATTAAGCAAAAAAAAAAAAAAACACAAACCTTTCACATGTCATACTCTAAAGTCATTAGTTATTATGCTAATACAAAGAAATTAAAGCTATTCTAAAAAAATTAAAGCATAAGAGACTAAACATAATTTGTTGGTATTTATAGTCAATGAAACTTAAAAGTGATCAGAAATTGTCAAAATCTAGTTAAAAACTCTTGCTCGAATTGTTTTGGAGATCTGCAAAAACCTTCACCGATATTTTCAACCACCACATAAAGTGATCGAAAATAACGTCCACTTTAATAAAATGGTCGAACAATTTGTTGTAGGTTGAGAAGTTGATGTGCCTAATTTTTTGACCACCGGTGGTAGAAATTCCCACAGCTTTAAGGGAAATCCATTGCACCACAAAAGCTTGGTCATTAATTTGGCTCAATTTGCATGTGTGGTGTGGCAATTTTTTCTCTTCCTTTCTCTTTTTTCGTTCACCTTTCTGTATGAGCAAAGCCAAGTTTGCATGCATTACAACTTGTGTAAGCTAAACGTAGTTAGTCTGTGTAATCTGTCAGAGGCATACTAGAAACTTTTGATTACATCGTCATCGAAAAATTGCTTTTAAGGGCAATGTTTCTTTAACACGACACAGATTTTCTAGTTCCAATTTTGTTCTTCCTGGGAGCTACTTCGACATTGTTCTAATTTCACAACAAGCTGCTGTCGTCACATCCCTCTTCCAGAACTGTCGTCGCCAAGAGCTGTTGTGCCGTTGCCAACAAGCTGCCGGCGCACAAATGAACTAAACATAGTCCACAATTGCCAAGGTCAGAATTGCGATGATGATGATGATAATAATAATAATAATAATAATAATAATAACAACAACAACAATAACAACAACAACAACAACGTGACTTTGTTTATTAAAAAAATAAAGGTTACACATATGAATGCGAGTACATCGTTGTACAGATAGCCTAATGAATATAATTAGTATAAAGATTAATATACCCCTATACAATAATAATAAGGATTATTAATAAGAAAGTTATAGAGGGTATAATTGTCCTACTAATTTTTCATGGAAAATAAAATACTAAGCGAGGAATGGAAATTTTTTTTTCACATTCTTGAGAATAGAGGAAAACGTTTTTTTAAGATACAAGAATAAAGCTATTTATACGTATATTACATGCTTTTTTGTTTTTAATAAGAAATTTTTTAAAATATATACACAATACGCTTCTTTAAGACTTGAAATTAAAAAATAGTAAAAACGTCTAAAGTTGTTTATTTATAAAAATGTCGCCATTTTTTTTTACTATAGGCAAACTGCCTATTGTTATATTTTTTGGTCCATTCTGTAATAGTGATTTGGCAAAATAGTGGTCATGTAAGCCCATTTGCTTTAACCCGTACTCTGTCTGCCCTTTTGAATGTAAATTAGAAATAATATATAATAAAGTTTTCAACACATAAGTGGACGTGCCGGAGTGGTTATCGGGCATGACTAGAAATCATGTGGGCTTTGCCCGCGCAGGTTCGAATCCTGCCGTCCACGCTTGATTTCGTAGAGTTTTTAAACCTTTCTTCTTTCATTTCATTACCGTCTTAATAAGAAACAGATGCTTTCTTCCTTAATTTTATTTTATTTAATATGAAACAAATTAATCATTGCATTTTAAACCTTCTTCTTTAATTTCATTTCCCTTAATAAGAAACAGAAGCTTTCTTCTTTAATTTTATTTTATTTAATAAGAAACAAATTAATCATTTTGTTAATTTTAACGACCTCACCGAGTCACTGTAATTGGCCCTGCTGGTAAAATAGTTAGTTTATATGTCAATTTTGGCTTGTTTGACCATTGTTACTTGTTTGACTTGGTTAAAATATCAATATAAGTGTTTAGTTAATTAGCTTTTTGTAACTCCAAAATGCTAAAATTCAAAAAGCTGCTCAATGCAACTTTATCAATTAACTTTTTGAGAAAAGAAATTATACCAAACAACCATCAGCTAACAGCTAATTTACCAAATATTTTTCTACAATCAGCTAATGTTATCAACTAGTTATACCCTCAAATTAACTCAATTAGCTAACACTTAACAGCTATCAGCTCCTTTCAAAAAAAAAAAAAAACAAAAGATAAACAAAAAATAAAAAATAAAAAACAACTATAAGCTAACAACCATTTACCAAACACGGCCATAGTCATTGTCAATTTTCTAAACACATTCCAAAATAAAATGACAGTTGTAACCACAAAAAATAAAGTATATATATATATATATATATATATATATATATATATAAAAGTTAATAATAGTATATAAATTTTTTTATACGGAGTATACACTTTCACAAAGTTTAGAAAATTATATGAAAGTCAATAAAAGTTTATTACAAAAGTCGTAATTGAGTAACCCCAGTAAATCTTTATTAAATAATTAAATTAATTAAACAAATGAGATCTGCTAAAATAATTCAATTAATTGATGTGTAAACTCGGTCAACTCAATTAAGATGTGACTCAATATTATTAGCTCATTTATTATTGTCATATGTTTCATGTCTACTTAGAGATCTCAATGTGTTTGGTACCTTAATGAAAAATCGGATTAATAGCTATAGCAATAGCAGATTCACTATAGAAATTTTAAAAGTCCGAGGTATAAGAAGCTATAGTGATATCGTTGGACGATTTTGCGATTGTAAAAATGTTTTTTTTTTTTTTTTTTTAATAAGGTTCATATTGGCCATTGAACGTAACGTGAAAGTGTAATTAGGCTACGGAAAAAAGCACAATTAGGCCATTGAACACCATTAATGTATGCAATTTCACCTGATAACATCCTGATAGCATGTTATCATTCATTTCATCAGGTTACCTGCTTACGTGGATGGTGAGTTGACATTTTTAAATAATTTTTAATAATAAATTTTATAAAAAATAAAATAAAAAACAAAACAAAAAAAACATGGGGTGACATTTTTTTTTACTACTACTGACTCTATTACAATGTAGTATATATCCATACATATTTTCAACATATTGAAACACAAAAAGTCAATGTTAACCTGTAGCCACAGTCCACAGAGATGTAGCTACAAGCTTTGTAGTTACCATTCATTGAAAGTTAGGTCAAAAAGACAAAAAAGCAATAGAAATTGTAACATGGAGAACTAAAAAAGAAGAAGTTTTACTGGTACATGTGACATAGGCATTGCAATGCATATATTCTAAGGTTTTACCAAATGGGTTTACATCCCCACACATATATAATACAATGCAAGAAAAATTACAGCACATGATCTCTTATTCTTGAGAGGCATTGAATCTACCAGAAGCTGAGGAACACATCAGATCAGATCATCATGGCTTCCAAGCTTGAAAACCTAGCTAGCTACATCAGATCTGCCTGCAAAACCAACCATTCGAATTCAGGACAAACCGAAAGAGATCGAACTTGTTGAAAGAGGCCGGAAGATCTTACCACGTCGAGGGAATGAAAGATGGGATTTGATTCTGGCAATGGCTCAGCAACTAAAATGTAATAGTAGCCCATGACCCCTGTATGCATCTGGACATTGCTATAATTCGATATAATAGTTAGCTTCTCATTTGGAGCAATCTTGACCGAGCCAGGTTGAGGGTAACATGTCGACATTCCAACGAGGTAACCATCTTCATTTCCTGGTTCTGTTCCGTTTCCATATATTGGAAGTGAATTGCACAGAACCCGTCCATCCTATATAGCATTGCAGTAGATAATAAATCGTTAATTTCACCTAGCAAATTGTTCAACAAGAGTATTGCACACATTCTCAAAACATTACAAGTGTGCAGTTGGTGACTAGGGGATAGTTAGGCGTAGGCCAGTAGGTCAGTGAAGGGCTAAGTCCAGCACCCTGCCTTTATAAGGAAATAAAGTTGGGCCTTTGCTATTAGCTGTAGTAACTGTTTGATCCTACAAAGTGATATCAGAGCTTAGGTCACAAGTTCAGACCCCAGCCAATGTTACTGGCTGGTTGACAGAAAAGAATACCTCTCCAAAAAGAGTAGAGCCAATCCCTCCAATGTGTTGGTGAGTAACAGCATAGATGAGATCTCCTCCGTTTGGCAAACTAACGGTTAAGCTCTTGGAATGAACACATTCATGAGTAGGCGTAGCAGCAGAACATGCCTCAACTTGGTATTCAATCTGAATAAAAAAGATCAGAGAGGGCAAATTAAAGTGAACACTGCTGAAACATATATGCATAATAACAAACATAAAAAGAAGGCGGGTGAACCTGGCAAGCGTGTCTTCCCGGGACAGAATCGGACGATTTCAAAGTATCAGTGACATCAAATATATAAACCTTGACAGGCACAATGGAGGGGTTCCAATCAACATAAGTGACAGTGTACTTAAGGTAGAGCCCTCTCTTTTCGCCCCGAAATCCTTGTTTCACCCTGCATTTCGCCCCATCATAGCAGCATCTAAGGCCTCCGGGATAGTCACCTAGAGGTCTCCCGTCCTCGTCTTTTGTCACATTATACAAATCACACCTACACTCAGTGCAACCCCGCTTATTCTCTGCGGTGCCTCGTGTATCAATGGCATGTACATTAAGCATCCATGCTTCCTCTAACCCCGGGGGCGGATTCCCAACTTCGATTCCATAAGGATCAGGAACACTTGAGTTTGTTTTCCTCGTCTCTGATCCCAGCCCAAAATATTGTGGAAGTTCAGCACAAACCCCTGAGTTCCCTACTAGAAACATTTTATCTGCTGCTTCTACTACCTCATCTGTTATGTTAGAAATTACTGTTAGAGATTTTCATCATGAGATCAAATTTACTTACTATATTCTTATATTTACTTGTTATTTCCTATAAATACAGGATTTTTCATTGTACTTTATTGATAAGACTAATGATATAAAAATTTCCAATTTTATATTAGTTCAAGAAAAAGAGTATAGGTTCTCAAACTTTACCTGAAAAGTCAATTAGGCTTTTAAATTTTGTAAAGTTTCAACTAAATCTTCAAACTCATTAAAATCAATCAAATAGGTCCAATTTATCGATAACCAACAAGTTACTAGTAAATTTAAACTATTGATCATCTAGTTGCCATTGACCATAAAAAATTTGTTACCACCGATTAACTAGATTTTACCATCGTAAAAAAAAATAAAAATCAATCGGTGTGGTCGACCAGATTTTCCGAAGAAGTGACCAGGTCCGGAGAGGAAACCAGAACACTAGTCGCCTTCTACGGAGAGGCCACTAGCGTTTACCTTCTGCTGGAGAAGGCGACCACTCTCGCCAGTCGATTTGTGGTCGGAAATGGTCTCGCAGGGTTGTCGGAATCCTAGTGACCGACCTGCTATCACAGGTCACTAACCGTTTTTTGGGTTTCATTATATTGCACCAAAATAAAATGTGAATGTGTCTAATTACAACTTTAAAAAGTTTAAAAGCGTAATTAACTTTTAAAGTTTGGATGACGTATTTGACCATTTTAACAAAACTCTTGGGGTGGGGCTTACCTTTGCGTATCATGTATTTTCCAACAATCCAATGATGGAGATAAGTTTGATGGAGTGGGATAGAGTTTCCTTCCTCATCAACTACTTCTGCTTCAAACCCTTTCACAGCAATATGACCTTTTGGAAAGTCGATACCATAAAAAAATTTATTACAAACCGATCCTGGTTCCAGCTCAAACCTAGGAGATAGCAAAGTTTCCACTTTCATCCCATTCTTGACGTCCATTCTTAGACTACGCTGTGAAGTGGGAGCCGCCATTGTCAACGCCAACATTATTGCTACCCAAAGCAACGCCATCTTTTCTTCTTACAAACCAAATTAAAGTTACGATTTTTAGTTTCCAATTACAAGTATTCTAAGTTCTAACCATTGTGCATAAAGGAAAAGATGGAAAAGCTAGCTGAGTTACTTAGAAATGAGAAATGAGTGAAAATGAGAGAGCATACCTGATTTGGGAATTAATTCGGGCCAAGAAAACTGAAAACCAGCTAAAAGGTGTCTGAGAAATTGAGAGATGAAGAACTTCACTATAGCCTTCCAGAGTTCCAGGATGGGGAGGAGAAATTTATATATTTTCCGCTTTGAAACTGGCTCCTTTTTTGGATGAATATATATATAGGTAAAAGTGGAAAACCATGTAAAACCGAGCAACAGCTTTGGATTGTTTCTTGATAGGCATTTAATTTTCAGTTGAAAAGTAATACGGAGTGGTTATCAAAATATTATATTTTAGTTAAAAAAAAAATGATATAAACCATTTATGAGAAACGATTTATGGTTGATTTTTTGACCAATTTGTTGGATACTTAACTCAAGTTGTCTATTGTTGGAACATATGATTACTCATTTAAAATCATAATTGAAATGTCATCACTATATGGTAGTTAACTGTATATGATTTTATTATCTTTATAATTAAAAAAACTCATTAACTGCCTTGTGACGTGTGCCTCTTCATTTTTTGTTCATATGCAATTATCTCGCCTTATGAGTTATGATCGGTATGATTAAATTAATTAATCCAACCTGATCTTTCCTTATTTTTATATTTAGTTGGAATTGTCTTCCCTAACTAAAATCATTAAATTAATTTTGTCTTATCCTTCTTCATTTCATTGTCTATTTCATTGCATATAATTGAGTAGCTCAAATCAAGAAGATTGAGATTCAAACTCATGACCTAATTTATTATATTTGTATGTATATAACGAAGATAAGTCAAACTAGTGAGACATGAGAAATATTGTATGCAGCAAAGTTGGAAACGACGACAGTGACAGATTCTTGGGACAGCTCAACAATTTTTATTTTTTTTTGAAGAGAAGGACAGCTCAACATAGAAACCTTATACATAACTACATAAGGGTGCGTTTGAATCTGGTAGAAAGGATTTTTTTTATTTGGTAGTAAATATGAATTGGAATTAAAATAAATAAAAGATTAAATAATTAAATTGAAAATAAATAAATATATAAACATATATTATATGATACTGGTTCAAATGAAGATAGGACTTTTCGTGTGGATTGTATTATTAAGTATGTATATATATGCATCATACATTATTCAAAAATATATCAGAATGAACCAAACACACCCTGAGTGTTGCCTTAAATTGCATTATTTAAGGATATATATTTTTTCAATAATAATAGTAATGAATTTTGATGATACCATACGAAACTTTATTTTTAATTGACTCTTTTTGCTTCATTATATTAAGAAAGTAGTTATGAACCGAACTGTATTGTTACAGAGTCAGTAGTACTAAAAAACAACAAAAAAAAAAAAAAACAAAAAACAAAAAAAACAAAATCTTTGAAATATAATTAGGCCAGATCCTATTTATTTGCTACCATCGGAATGGGAGAGATTCGAATTTGAATAAGAAATGTAAGCTTTGAGATTCGCAGTAACAATTTAGAAAGCCAATGCATTGAATACATAATTACACCCTGAAAAAACGTTTATGTTTATTGTTTTTTCTGTGCCGTGAAAAACGTTTATATATTTTAATATAAGTCACTATCTAGAAATTGTAGCATAGAAAAATATACAAGTACTGTTTGATAACATTCTTCCTAAAAGTAGAATCCTCAACCCCAAGGGTCTTCCACATTTTGGTCTAACAGAGCATTTAAGATGATATAAATCATGATAACTCAGCTGAATCGCAGAGGCTAGATCTTTGCTTACTGCGGACAAGGAGCCCCCTCACTTTGAGAAGTTGCTCCCTACTATTTGATAACATAGTTAAATTATTAGTCAATTTAGTTTATTTGACCACTATTAACTACGGAGTATTTGATTTGGTTAAACAGTCAATATGAGTATTTGATTAATTAGCTTTTTGTAACAGCTTATTGCTCCAAAATGTTAAAATTCAAAAAGCTACTCAAATCAACTTTTTGATGAAGTTATTTTGCATGTAATCAACTATCAGCTAACAGCTAATTTACCAAACATCTTTCTACAATCAGCTAATGCTATCAACTAGTCAAACCCACTAACCCAACTAACTAACAGCTATCAGATAACAGTTATTTACGAAGGCCAGGCAAATTTTACTGTGGACCATGGTCCAAAACAATGTCATTTCTTTTAATGAAAAGAAACGGCACCCGTTCTGCGTAATTAGCTCTGCTTGTATAACATATTCAGTTTCATTTTATATACATTGTAATTTCATTTCAGCACAATTACAATTTCATTTTGTTTCAACTACAATTTCATTCGACATTATACATACAATAGTCTTATTAATGTAAGACATGTTATTTAATTTTATTTTATACATATTGTAGTCTTTATTACAACACCACTAAATTATAATTCTAATTCAACTACGGTTTCATTGAACAATATACACACAAATATGTGAAACTGTTTTCAGTTTCATTTTATATACACTGTGGTTTCATTACAACACAACTACAATATCATTTCGATATAAACACAGTTTCATTTAACAATATACACTCAATATGTGAGACATGTTATTCAGTTTCTTTTTATACATACTGTAGTTTCATTTTAGCAAAATTAAAGTATATTTTCTATTCCACTACATTTCTATTTGACAATATACACTCAATATGTGAGACATGTTATTCAGTTTCATTTTATACATACTGCAGTTTCATTTCAACACAACTAAAGTATCATATCAATTCAATTACAGTTTCATTTGATAATATAAACACAATATGCGAGACAGTTTCATTTTAGATATACTGTACTTTCATTTTGTTATGAATACACAAAAAATATGAATTTGTTATAAAGTAAAAGTAATAATTACTGTTTCTTTACTTAAAGAAACGGCGCCGTTTTCAGACCATAGTCCACAAAACTCTATAGACCATGGTCCACAGTATAACAACCCCATAATATTTTTCTTTTTATTATCAAATAGAATTAAGGTTGGAAGCCCACTAGCCCAACGCCATTTTGATGCCAATGCAATCATAATACCATAGATTATGATTCACTTTACAGTTTACACACATAAGGTTCATTTTAATACATTAAATGTCCAATTTTTATGTATTAAATGTTCATTTTTAATATTCATTTTTATGTATATTACCTAAAAATAAATTTTCAGTATATTAAAAATAAACATTTATTTTTGACTCATATAGCAATGTGGACCATGGTCTAAAATATAATTTGCCCATCTGATGCCATCATTATATCCTAGACTTAAATAACTAAAAATTAATTAGTCTACTTTCCTATCAATTAAATTCTCAAGAAAATGTTTCTGATGTGGTAAATACTTTCAGGTATACGGATCTGAGTAGTGTGGAAGCTCGGATAATTAAGACTGAGGGTCGGAGGGTCCCGAGCTACTAAGTAGAGACTCTAGAGAGAAAATGCTATAATGTGGTATTTATAGGGGAGGGAGAAGATACATGCCGGGTGTCTGGCCGCACGCCACGTGTTCCACATGCATTGAGAAGATCGGTGGCTTTACAAATTAATACACGTAGATCGTGATCCTTGACTTGCTTATCCTCTAGAATAGGAAGTGCTCCTAATCGGAATACCCGGTCCGAGTTTCAAGGTCAGGACCGAGCAGATATTCAATGGCGAGCTCATATCTCTCCATAGGTCGGGTCGGGCCTCTTATCAGGTCGAATCATGTTGGGAAACGACCCTCTCCCTGCATTAATACGGACCCGATCAGGTGCTCAGTACGTATGGGTTTGTAGACCCAGGACATATTCCCTATCAGTTTCCACTTTCCAAAGAATATATTTGAAGGGAGTAACTTTTCTGAAAAATTAATTAGATTGTTTGGTGTTACCTCAAAACATAACAATTAAATTACCTGTAAAATTAATAAAATTAATTAACACGTTTGGTGTGAAGAGATTAACTGTGTGTTTATTGATTGTAAAGCACACCCTATATATAGTACATGGAGGAGTGAAGATATCAGGAAGTTACAACCAAATACAACTAGTGTATATGAGCACAAATAGAATAAATAACAACTAAAGATATACTAGCCACATATTGGCTTAACACGCCCCCGCAAGATGGAGGATCCGTCGGAGACTCCAATCTTGGACCGAAGGTGAAGAAAGAGGTGACGACCCAGTGACTTAGTAAGAAGATCGGCTAGTTAAGGTGAAGACGAAACGTGCCGCACAACTAGCGTACCATTTGCAACCAAATCCCAGACAAAATAGTATTCCAAGGTGAGATGCTTCATGCGGGAATGAAACACGGGATTCTTGCAAACGTACGTGGCGCTCAAGTTGTCACAAAACAGGACCGGAGGCTCAACCAGCCCCAATTTCAACTCTTGCAACAGATTTTTGACCCAGAGGACCTCAGCTGCTGCATTCGACAGGGCCCGATACTCCGCCTCCGTGGACGATCGCGAGACAGACTTCTGACGCGTAGACTTCCAAGAGATTAGATTATCGCCTAGGTACACCAGATATGCAGTAGTGGAACGACCCTCAATGGACGGTCCACCCCAATCTGAATCAGTGTATACCCGCAACGAAAGGGGCTGACCTGCACGTAGCAACAAACCATGACATGCGGTTCCTTTTAGATACCGCAGGAGGCGTTTGGCGGCTTGCCAGTGTAACTCCGAGGGTGCATGCATGAACTGCGAAAGCCTGTTGACAGCAAACGCCACATCCGGACGTGTAATCACCAAGTACTGCATAAGACCAAGCAAGCGACGAAACTGAGTGGCATCAGTCGCAACATCGGACGGTCGCAGCGGTACCAACTTCTCTGAAGTAGCCAGCGGTGTTGAAACATCCTTTGCACCATCCATCTTGAACTGCGTCAGTATGCCAGTAATATACTGACTTTGAGACAGAAAAATTCCACCACCAGTAGGAATGACCTCCACACCCAGGAAATGATGTAAAGTACCAAGATCTTTAAGGGCAAATTGTGCTGACAGGGACCCCACAAAACGATCAAGCCATGTAGAGTTATTACCTGTCAACAAAATGTCATCGACATATACTAAAAAGTAGACAATTACACCTGTGATACCATGTGAAGAGATTAACTATGTGTTTATTGATTGTACAGCACACCCTATATATTTTTACAAAGTTTACAAAATTATATGAAAGTCAATAAAAGTTTATTACAAAAGTCATAATTGAATAACCCCAATAAATCTTTATCAAATAATTAAATTAATTAAACAAATAAGATATGTCAAATTAATTCAATTAATTAATGTGTAAACTATTAGCTCATTTATTATTGTCATATTTTTCATGTCTACTAGAGACCTCAATTTGTTTGTACCTTAATGAAAAAATTGGATTAATAGCTATAGCAATAACAGATTGACTATAGAAATTTTAAAAATTTGAGGTATAAGAAGCTATAGTGATATCGTTGGACAATTTTGCAATTGTAAAAGTGTCTTTTTTTTTTTTTTTATTACTACTGACTATATTACAATGTAGTATATATTCATACATACTTTTAATCTATTGAAACATAATGAGTCAATGTTAAATTGGGAGCTCCCATTTGGGAGAAACACAGAGATGCACTACAAGCCTACAAGCTTTGTAGTTACCATTCATTGAAAGTTAGGTCAAAAAGACAAAAAAAAAAAAAAAAAAAAAAAAAGCAATAGAAATTGTAACATGGAGAACTAAAAAAAAAAAAAAAAAAAAAAAGTTTTTATGGTACATGTGACATAGGCATTGCAATGCATATATTCTAAGGTTTTACCAAATGGGTTTACATGCCCACACATATAATTATATATACAATGCAAGAAAAATTACAGCACATGATCTCTTATTCTTGAGAGGCATTGAAAACCTAGCTACATCAGATCTGCCTGCAAAACCAACCATTCGAATTCAGGACAAACCGAAAGAGATCGAACTTGTGCACAAATAACTTAGATGATCGATGACAGAAGACTAAACTTGCCGAAAATCCATTGTAGGAAATTAGTGGGTGTATGTGTAGCATTGTTTAAAGAGGCCGGAAGATCTTACCACGTCGAGGGAATGAAAGATGGGGTTTGATTCTGGCGATGGCTCAGCAACTAAAATGTAATAGTAGCCCATGACCCCTGTGTGCATCTGGACATTGCTATAATTCGATATAATAGTTAGCTTCTCATTTGGAGCAATCTTGACCGAGCCAGGTTGAGGGTAACATGTCGACATTCCAACGAGGTAACCATCTTCATTTCCTGGTTCTGTTCCGTTTCCATATATTGGAAGTGAATTGCACAAAACCCGTCCATCCTATATAGCATTGCAGTAGATAATAAATCGTTAGGAACAAAACGAGACATGATCTTTCACCTACCAAATTGTTCAACAAGAGTATTGTATCTCCTCCCTATGTTCATTTTACTATATACTGTCAGGTTGCAAACATTACAAGTATGCAATTGGTGACTAGGGGATTGTTAGGCGTAGGCCAGTGAAGGGCTAAGTGGGTCTTTGCTATTAGCTGTAGTAACTGTTTGATCCTACAAAGTGATATCAGAGCTTAGGTCACAAGTTCAGACCCCAGCCAATGTTACTGGCTGGTTGACAGAAAAGAATACCTCTCCAAAAAGAGTAGAGCCAATCCCTCCAATGTGTTGGTGAGTAACAGCATAGATGAGATCTCCTCCGTTTGGCAAACTAACGGTTAAGCTCTTGGAATGAACACATTCATGAGTAGGCGTAGCAGCAGAACATGCCTCAACTTGGTATTCAATCTGAATAAAAAAGATCAGAGAGGGCAAATTAAAGTGAACACTGCTGAAACATATATGCATAATAACAAACATAAAAAGAAGGCGGGTGAACCTGGCAAGCGTGTCTTCCCGGGACAGAATCGGACGATTTCAAAGTATCAGTGACATCAAATATATAAACCTTGACAGGCACAATGGAGGGGTTCCAATCAACATAAGTGACAGTGTACTTAAGGTAGAGCCCTCTCTTTTCGCCCCGAAATCCTTGTTTCACCCTGCATTTCGCCCCATCATAGCAGCATCTAAGGCCTCCGGGATAGTCACCTAGAGGTCTCCCGTCCTCGTCTTTTGTCACATTATACAAATCACACCTACACTCAGTGCAACCCCGCTTATTCTCTGCGGTGCCTCGTGTATCAATGGCATGTACATTAAGCATCCATGCTTCCTCTAACCCCGGGGGCGGATTCCCAACTTCGATTCCATAAGGATCAGGAACACTTGAGTTTGTTTTCCTCGTCTCTGATCCCAGCCCAAAATATTGTGGAAGTTCAGCACAAACCCCTGAGTTCCCTACTAGAAACATTTTATCTGCTGCTTCTACTACCTCATCTGTTATGTTAGAAATTACTGTTAGAGATTTTCATCATGAGATCAAATTTACTTACTATATTCTTATATTTACTTGTTATTTCCTATAAATACAGGATTTTTCATTGTACTTTATTGATAAGACTAATGATATAAAAATTTCCAATTTTATATTAGTTCAAGAAAAAGAGTATAGGTTCTCAAACTTTACCTGAAAAGTCAATTAGGCTTTTAAATTTTGTAAAGTTTCAACTAAATCTTCAAACTCATTAAAATCAATCAAATAGGTCCAATTTATCGATAACCAACAAGTTACTAGTAAATTTAAACTATTGATCATCTAGTTGCCATTGACCATAAAAAATTTGTTACCACCGATTAACTAGATTTTACCATCGTAAAAAAAAATAAAAATCAATCGGTGTGGTCGACCAGATTTTCCGAAGAAGTGACCAGGTCCGGAGAGGAAACCAGAACACTAGTCGCCTTCTACGGAGAGGCCACTAGCGTTTACCTTCTGCTGGAGAAGGCGACCACTCTCGCCAGTCGATTTGTGGTCGGAAATGGTCTCGCAGGGTTGTCGGAATCCTAGTGACCGACCTGCTATCACAGGTCACTAACCGTTTTTTGGGTTTCATTATATTGCACCAAAATAAAATGTGAATGTGTCTAATTACAACTTTAAAAAGTTTAAAAGCGTAATTAACTTTTAAAGTTTGGATGACGTATTTGACCATTTTAACAAAACTCTTGGGGTGGGGCTTACCTTTGCGTATCATGTATTTTCCAACAATCCAATGATGGAGATAAGTTTGATGGAGTGGGATAGAGTTTCCTTCCTCATCAACTACTTCTGCTTCAAACCCTTTCACAGCAATATGACCTTTTGGAAAGTCGATACCATAAAAAAATTTATTACAAACCGATCCTGGTTCCAGCTCAAACCTAGGAGATAGCAAAGTTTCCACTTTCATCCCATTCTTGACGTCCATTCTTAGACTACGCTGTGAAGTGGGAGCCGCCATTGTCAACGCCAACATTATTGCTACCCAAAGCAACGCCATCTTTTCTTCTTACAAACCAAATTAAAGTTACGATTTTTAGTTTCCAATTACAAGTATTCTAAGTTCTAACCATTGTGCATAAAGGAAAAGATGGAAAAGCTAGCTGAGTTACTTAGAAATGAGAAATGAGTGAAAATGAGAGAGCATACCTGATTTGGGAATTAATTCGGGCCAAGAAAACTGAAAACCAGCTAAAAGGTGTCTGAGAAATTGAGAGATGAAGAACTTCACTATAGCCTTCCAGAGTTCCAGGATGGGGAGGAGAAATTTATATATTTTCCGCTTTGAAACTGGCTCCTTTTTTGGATGAATATATATATAGGTAAAAGTGGAAAACCATGTAAAACCGAGCAACAGCTTTGGATTGTTTCTTGATAGGCATTTAATTTTCAGTTGAAAAGTAATACGGAGTGGTTATCAAAATATTATATTTTAGTTAAAAAAAAAATGATATAAACCATTTATGAGAAACGATTTATGGTTGATTTTTTGACCAATTTGTTGGATACTTAACTCAAGTTGTCTATTGTTGGAACATATGATTACTCATTTAAAATCATAATTGAAATGTCATCACTATATGGTAGTTAACTGTATATGATTTTATTATCTTTATAATTAAAAAAACTCATTAACTGCCTTGTGACGTGTGCCTCTTCATTTTTTGTTCATATGCAATTATCTCGCCTTATGAGTTATGATCGGTATGATTAAATTAATTAATCCAACCTGATCTTTCCTTATTTTTATATTTAGTTGGAATTGTCTTCCCTAACTAAAATCATTAAATTAATTTTGTCTTATCCTTCTTCATTTCATTGTCTATTTCATTGCATATAATTGAGTAGCTCAAATCAAGAAGATTGAGATTCAAACTCATGACCTAATTTATTATATTTGTATGTATATAACGAAGATAAGTCAAACTAGTGAGACATGAGAAATATTGTATGCAGCAAAGTTGGAAACGACGACAGTGACAGATTCTTGGGACAGCTCAACAATTTTTATTTTTTTTTGAAGAGAAGGACAGCTCAACATAGAAACCTTATACATAACTACATAAGGGTGCGTTTGAATCTGGTAGAAAGGATTTTTTTTATTTGGTAGTAAATATGAATTGGAATTAAAATAAATAAAAGATTAAATAATTAAATTGAAAATAAATAAATATATAAACATATATTATATGATACTGGTTCAAATGAAGATAGGACTTTTCGTGTGGATTGTATTATTAAGTATGTATATATATGCATCATACATTATTCAAAAATATATCAGAATGAACCAAACACACCCTGAGTGTTGCCTTAAATTGCATTATTTAAGGATATATATTTTTTCAATAATAATAGTAATGAATTTTGATGATACCATACGAAACTTTATTTTTAATTGACTCTTTTTGCTTCATTATATTAAGAAAGTAGTTATGAACCGAACTGTATTGTTACAGAGTCAGTAGTACTAAAAAACAACAAAAAAAAAAAAAAAACAAAAAACAAAAAAAACAAAATCTTTGAAATATAATTAGGCCAGATCCTATTTATTTGCTACCATCGGAATGGGAGAGATTCGAATTTGAATAAGAAATGTAAGCTTTGAGATTCGCAGTAACAATTTAGAAAGCCAATGCATTGAATACATAATTACACCCTGAAAAAACGTTTATGTTTATTGTTTTTTCTGTGCCGTGAAAAACGTTTATATATTTTAATATAAGTCACTATCTAGAAATTGTAGCATAGAAAAATATACAAGTACTGTTTGATAACATTCTTCCTAAAAGTAGAATCCTCAACCCCAAGGGTCTTCCACATTTTGGTCTAACAGAGCATTTAAGATGATATAAATCATGATAACTCAGCTGAATCGCAGAGGCTAGATCTTTGCTTACTGCGGACAAGGAGCCCCCTCACTTTGAGAAGTTGCTCCCTACTATTTGATAACATAGTTAAATTATTAGTCAATTTAGTTTATTTGACCACTATTAACTACGGAGTATTTGATTTGGTTAAACAGTCAATATGAGTATTTGATTAATTAGCTTTTTGTAACAGCTTATTGCTCCAAAATGTTAAAATTCAAAAAGCTACTCAAATCAACTTTTTGATGAAGTTATTTTGCATGTAATCAACTATCAGCTAACAGCTAATTTACCAAACATCTTTCTACAATCAGCTAATGCTATCAACTAGTCAAACCCACTAACCCAACTAACTAACAGCTATCAGATAACAGTTATTTACGAAGGCCAGGCAAATTTTACTGTGGACCATGGTCCAAAACAATGTCATTTCTTTTAATGAAAAGAAACGGCACCCGTTCTGCGTAATTAGCTCTGCTTGTATAACATATTCAGTTTCATTTTATATACATTGTAATTTCATTTCAGCACAATTACAATTTCATTTTGTTTCAACTACAATTTTATTCGACATTATACATACAATAGTCTTATTAATGTAAGACATGTTATTTAATTTTATTTTATACATATTGTAGTCTTTATTACAACACCACTAAATTATAATTCTAATTCAACTACGGTTTCATTGAACAATATACACACAAATATGTGAAACTGTTTTCAGTTTCATTTTATATACACTGTGGTTTCATTACAACACAACTACAATATCATTTCGATATAAACACAGTTTCATTTAACAATATACACTCAATATGTGAGACATGTTATTCAGTTTCTTTTTATACATACTGTAGTTTCATTTTAGCAAAATTAAAGTATATTTTCTATTCCACTACATTTCTATTTGACAATATACACTCAATATGTGAGACATGTTATTCAGTTTCATTTTATACATACTGCAGTTTCATTTCAACACAACTAAAGTATCATATCAATTCAATTACAGTTTCATTTGATAATATAAACACAATATGCGAGACAGTTTCATTTTAGATATACTGTACTTTCATTTTGTTATGAATACACAAAAAATATGAATTTGTTATAAAGTAAAAGTAATAATTACTGTTTCTTTACTTAAAGAAACGGCGCCGTTTTCAGACCATAGTCCACAAAACTCTATAGACCATGGTCCACAGTATAACAACCCCATAATATTTTTCTTTTTATTATCAAATAGAATTAAGGTTGGAAGCCCACTAGCCCAACGCCATTTTGATGCCAATGCAATCATAATACCATAGATTATGATTCACTTTACAGTTTACACACATAAGGTTCATTTTAATACATTAAATGTCCAATTTTTATGTATTAAATGTTCATTTTTAATATTCATTTTTATGTATATTACCTAAAAATAAATTTTCAGTATATTAAAAATAAACATTTATTTTTGACTCATATAGCAATGTGGACCATGGTCTAAAATATAATTTGCCCATCTGATGCCATCATTATATCCTAGACTTAAATAACTAAAAATTAATTAGTCTACTTTCCTATCAATTAAATTCTCAAGAAAATGTTTCTGATGTGGTAAATACTTTCAGGTATACGGATCTGAGTAGTGTGGAAGCTCGGATAATTAAGACTGAGGGTCGGAGGGTCCCGAGCTACTAAGTAGAGACTCTAGAGAGAAAATGCTATAATGTGGTATTTATAGGGGAGGGAGAAGATACATGCCGGGTGTCTGGCCGCACGCCACGTGTTCCACATGCATTGAGAAGATCGGTGGCTTTACAAATTAATACACGTAGATCGTGATCCTTGACTTGCTTATCCTCTAGAATAGGAAGTGCTCCTAATCGGAATACCCGGTCCGAGTTTCAAGGTCAGGACCGAGCAGATATTCAATGGCGAGCTCATATCTCTCCATAGGTCGGGTCGGGCCTCTTATCAGGTCGAATCATGTTGGGAAACGACCCTCTCCCTGCATTAATACGGACCCGATCAGGTGCTCAGTACGTATGGGTTTGTAGACCCAGGACATATTCCCTATCAGTTTCCACTTTCCAAAGAATATATTTGAAGGGAGTAACTTTTCTGAAAAATTAATTAGATTGTTTGGTGTTACCTCAAAACATAACAATTAAATTACCTGTAAAATTAATAAAATTAATTAACACGTTTGGTGTGAAGAGATTAACTGTGTGTTTATTGATTGTAAAGCACACCCTATATATAGTACATGGAGGAGTGAAGATATCAGGAAGTTACAACCAAATACAACTAGTGTATATGAGCACAAATAGAATAAATAACAACTAAAGATATACTAGCCACATATTGGCTTAACACGCCCCCGCAAGATGGAGGATCCGTCGGAGACTCCAATCTTGGACCGAAGGTGAAGAAAGAGGTGACGACCCAGTGACTTAGTAAGAAGATCGGCTAGTTAAGGTGAAGACGAAACGTGCCGCACAACTAGCGTACCATTTGCAACCAAATCCCAGACAAAATAGTATTCCAAGGTGAGATGCTTCATGCGGGAATGAAACACGGGATTCTTGCAAACGTACGTGGCGCTCAAGTTGTCACAAAACAGGACCGGAGGCTCAACCAGCCCCAATTTCAACTCTTGCAACAGATTTTTGACCCAGAGGACCTCAGCTGCTGCATTCGACAGGGCCCGATACTCCGCCTCCGTGGACGATCGCGAGACAGACTTCTGACGCGTAGACTTCCAAGAGATTAGATTATCGCCTAGGTACACCAGATATGCAGTAGTGGAACGACCCTCAATGGACGGTCCACCCCAATCTGAATCAGTGTATACCCGCAACGAAAGGGGCTGACCTGCACGTAGCAACAAACCATGACATGCGGTTCCTTTTAGATACCGCAGGAGGCGTTTGGCGGCTTGCCAGTGTAACTCCGAGGGTGCATGCATGAACTGCGAAAGCCTGTTGACAGCAAACGCCACATCCGGACGTGTAATCACCAAGTACTGCATAAGACCAAGCAAGCGACGAAACTGAGTGGCATCAGTCGCAACATCGGACGGTCGCAGCGGTACCAACTTCTCTGAAGTAGCCAGCGGTGTTGAAACATCCTTTGCACCATCCATCTTGAACTGCGTCAGTATGCCAGTAATATACTGACTTTGAGACAGAAAAATTCCACCACCAGTAGGAATGACCTCCACACCCAGGAAATGATGTAAAGTACCAAGATCTTTAAGGGCAAATTGTGCTGACAGGGACCCCACAAAACGATCAAGCCATGTAGAGTTATTACCTGTCAACAAAATGTCATCGACATATACTAAAAAGTAGACAATTACACCTGTGATACCATGTGAAGAGATTAACTATGTGTTTATTGATTGTACAGCACACCCTATATATTTTTACAAAGTTTACAAAATTATATGAAAGTCAATAAAAGTTTATTACAAAAGTCATAATTGAATAACCCCAATAAATCTTTATCAAATAATTAAATTAATTAAACAAATAAGATATGTCAAATTAATTCAATTAATTAATGTGTAAACTATTAGCTCATTTATTATTGTCATATTTTTCATGTCTACTAGAGACCTCAATTTGTTTGTACCTTAATGAAAAAATTGGATTAATAGCTATAGCAATAACAGATTGACTATAGAAATTTTAAAAATTTGAGGTATAAGAAGCTATAGTGATATCGTTGGACAATTTTGCAATTGTAAAAGTGTCTTTTTTTTTTTTTTATTACTACTGACTATATTACAATGTAGTATATATTCATACATACTTTTAATCTATTGAAACATAATGAGTCAATGTTAAATTGGGAGCTCCCATTTGGGAGAAACACAGAGATGCACTACAAGCCTACAAGCTTTGTAGTTACCATTCATTGAAAGTTAGGTCAAAAAGACAAAAAAAAAAAAAAAAAAAAAAGCAATAGAAATTGTAACATGGAGAACTAAAAAAAAAAAAAAAAAAAAAAAAGTTTTTATGGTACATGTGACATAGGCATTGCAATGCATATATTCTAAGGTTTTACCAAATGGGTTTACATGCCCACACATATAATTATATATACAATGCAAGAAAAATTACAGCACATGATCTCTTATTCTTGAGAGGCATTGAAAACCTAGCTACATCAGATCTGCCTGCAAAACCAACCATTCGAATTCAGGACAAACCGAAAGAGATCGAACTTGTGCACAAATAACTTAGATGATCGATGACAGAAGACTAAACTTGCCGAAAATCCATTGTAGGAAATTAGTGGGTGTATGTGTAGCATTGTTTAAAGAGGCCGGAAGATCTTACCACGTCGAGGGAATGAAAGATGGGGTTTGATTCTGGCGATGGCTCAGCAACTAAAATGTAATAGTAGCCCATGACCCCTGTGTGCATCTGGACATTGCTATAATTCGATATAATAGTTAGCTTCTCATTTGGAGCAATCTTGACCGAGCCAGGTTGAGGGTAACATGTCGACATTCCAACGAGGTAACCATCTTCATTTCCTGGTTCTGTTCCGTTTCCATATATTGGAAGTGAATTGCACAAAACCCGTCCATCCTATATAGCATTGCAGTAGATAATAAATCGTTAGGAACAAAACGAGACATGATCTTTCACCTACCAAATTGTTCAACAAGAGTATTGTATCTCCTCCCTATGTTCATTTTACTATATACTGTCAGGTTGCAAACATTACAAGTATGCAATTGGTGACTAGGGGATTGTTAGGCGTAGGCCAGTGAAGGGCTAAGTGGGTCTTTGCTATTAGCTGTAGTAACTGTTTGATCCTACAAAGTGATATCAGAGCTTAGGTCACAAGTTCAGACCCCAGCCAATGTTACTGGCTGGTTGACAGAAAAGAATACCTCTCCAAAAAGAGTAGAGCCAATCCCTCCAATGTGTTGGTGAGTAACAGCATAGATGAGATCTCCTCCGTTTGGCAAACTAACGGTTAAGCTCTTGGAATGAACACATTCATCAGTAGGCGTAGCAGCAGAACATGCCTCAACTTGGTATTCAATCTGAATAAAAAAGATCAGAGAGGGCAAATTAAAGTGAACACTGCTGAAACATATATGCATAATAACAAACATAAAAAGAAGGCGGGTGAACCTGGCAAGCGTGTCTTCCCGGGACAGAATCGGACGATTTCAAAGTATCAGTGACATCAAATATATAAACCTTGACAGGCACAATGGAGGGGTTCCAATCAACATAAGTGACAGTGTACTTAAGGTAGAGCCCTCTCTTTTCGCCCCGAAATCCTTGTTTCACCCTGCATTTCGCCCCATCATAGCAGCATCTAAGGCCTCCGGGATAGTCACCTAGAGGTCTCCCGTCCTCGTCTTTTGTCACATTATACAAATCACACCTACACTCAGTGCAACCCCGCTTATTCTCTGCGGTGCCTCGTGTATCAATGGCATGTACATTAAGCATCCATGCTTCCTCTAACCCCGGGGGCGGATTCCCAACTTCGATTCCATAAGGATCAGGAACACTTGAGTTTGTTTTCCTCGTCTCTGATCCCAGCCCAAAATATTGTGGAAGTTCAGCACAAACCCCTGAGTTCCCTACTAGAAACATTTTATCTGCTGCTTCTACTACCTCATCTGTTATGTTAGAAATTACTGTTAGAGATTTTCATCATGAGATCAAATTTACTTACTATATTCTTATATTTACTTGTTATTTCCTATAAATACAGGATTTTTCATTGTACTTTATTGATAAGACTAATGATATAAAAATTTCCAATTTTATATTAGTTCAAGAAAAAGAGTATAGGTTCTCAAACTTTACCTGAAAAGTCAATTAGGCTTTTAAATTTTGTAAAGTTTCAACTAAATCTTCAAACTCATTAAAATCAATCAAATAGGTCCAATTTACCGGTAACCAACAAGTTACCAGTAAATTTAAGCTATTGATCATTTAGTTGCCATTGACCATCAAAAAAAATTTACCACCGATTAACCAGATTTCACCATCGTGAAAAAAAAAAATAATCGGTGTGGTTGACCTGATTTTCCGAAGAAGCGACCAGGTCCGGAGAGGAAACCAGAACACTGGTCACCTTCTGCTGGAGAAGGCGACCACTCTGGCCAATCGATTTGTGGTCGGAAATGGTGTCGGAGGGTTATCGGAACCCTAGTGACCTGCTATCACAGGTCACTAACCGATTTTTGGGTTTCACTATATTGCACCAGAATAAATGTTGATGGATTTAATTGCAACTTTAAAAAGTTTAAGCGTAATTAACTTTAAAAGTTTGGATGACGTATTTTACCATTTTAACAAAGCTCTTGGGGTGGGGCTTACCTTTGCGTATCATGTATTTTCCAACAATCCAATGATGGAGATAAGTTTGATGAAGTGGGATAGAGTTCCCTTCCTCATCAACCACTTCTGCATCAAACCCTTTCACAGCAATATGACCTTTTGGAAAGTCGATACCATAAAAAAATTTATTACAAACCGATCCTGGTTCCAGCTCAAACCTAGGAGATAGCAAAGTTTCCACTTTCATCCCATTCTTGACGTCCATTCTTAGACTGCGCTGTGAAGTGGGAGCCGCCATTGTCAATGCCAACATCATGGCTACCCAAACCCATCCCCACGCCATCTTTTCTTCCTACAAACCAAATTAAACTTACGGTTTTTAGTTTTCTAACCATTCTGCATAAAGGAAAAGAAAAGCTGAGTTACTTAGAAATGAGAAATGATCTGAGTGAAAATGAGAGAGCATACCCGATTTGGGAATTAATTCCGGCCAAGAAAACCAGCTAAAAGGGTGTCAGAGGAATTGAGAGATGATGAAGAACTTCAGTATAGCCTTTCCAGGATTGGGGAGGGGAAATTTATACATTTTCCGCTTTCAAAGTAATAGTTATTATTTCAAAATTTTATATTTTAGTTAAAAAGTGATATAGACTATTTACGAGAAACGATTTAAGGTTGATGTTTTTGTTGGATACTTGACCCAAGTTGTCTATGGGTTCCGACTTATGACTATAACTGGAATGTCAACACATTACATAGTAATTGACATACAGATATATAATTCAAGAAGAATTCTATTTGCACCACCCTAATTATTATTTACACCACCACTTGATAGGTGCGATAGCTTTATAGATGGTGAAAATAAAAAATTACTATTTACACCACATTCATTAAATATAGTCAAACATTATATTTTTTTAAAAAAATATTTATTATTTATTTTTATTTTAAAATCAAAATATTAAAAAAAAAAAAAAAAAAAAAAAAAAAAACAACAACAACAACAACACCCCCTCGCCAGCCCAGTGGGTCGCCTTCTCCTGTGAGAAGGTGACCCACTGGACTCGCCTTCTCACTAGGCAGTCCCTCGTCGATGAGAAGGCGAGGGGTTGTTTTTTTTTTTTTTAATATTTTAATTAATTAAATTTTAATTAAAAAATTATTAATAAAATCTCGTAAATCGTATTTGATCAGGGTGGTGTAAATAACAATATGAACACCCCTATGGCTATTTACAGTACATAATATAAGATTGTTGAAATTTTTATCATTTTTACAATTATAATGTAATTTACACCTATTTTTGACTAGATGTTAGTACAAATAACAACACCCTAATTTAATTATCTCTATAATTAAAAAAAAAAAACATATTAATTGTCTTGTGACCGGTGCCTCCTCGTTTTGTTCATTTGGAATTATCTGACCTTGTGAATTGTGATTGGTCGCCTCCTCATTTTTTGTTAATAATAATAATAATAATAATAATAATAATAATAATAATAATAATAATAATAATAATAATAATAATAATAATAATAATAATAAAATTTTTGAAATATAATTAGGCCAGATCCTATTTATTTGCTACCATCGGATTGATAGAGATTCGAATTTGAATAAGAAATGCAAGCTCTGACTGAGATTCACAATAACAATTTAGAAAGCCGATGCATTGAATAAATAATTACATCGTGAGAAACATTTATATGTTTTCTATGCGGTGAAAAACGTTCATATATTTTAATATAAGTCACTAATCTAGAAATTGTAGCATAGAAAAATATATATTCCTGCTTGATAATATAGTTAGCTTGTCAGTTAGTTTATTTGACTATTATTAATTGTTTGACTTGATTAAACAGATAATATAAGTGTTTGATTAATTAATTTTTTGTAATAGTTTATTGCTCTAAAATGCTAAAATTCAAAAAGCTACTCAAAGTAGTTTTTTCGATCAACTTTTTGATAAAGTCATTTTGCATGTAATCAACTATCAGCTAACAGCTAATTTACCAAACATTTTTCTACAATCAGTTAATATTATCAATTAGTCAAATCCACTAACCCCAGTCAGCTAACAGTTATCAGCTATCGGTTATTTACCAAACATCACATACGATTCACTTTACAGACATAAAGTTCATTTTTAATACATTGAATGTTCATTTTTTGTGTACTAAATGTCCATTTTTTAAATATTCATTTTTATGTATACTACCTAAAATTGAATTTTTAGTATACTAAAAATAAATATTTATTTGTGGCCCACATAGCAATGTGGACCATGTTCCAAAATATAATTTGCCCATTTGATGTCATCATTATATCCTAGACTTAAATAACTAAAAATTAATTAATGTATTTTCCTATCAATTAAATTCTCAAGAAAATGTTTCCAAAGAATATATTTAATAGGAATAACTTTACTAGAATTTTTTTTTTTTTTTTTTTTTATATAAGTTTGGAAGGGGGACACCCGGAAAATACAATTCTTCTAACTAAGAGAATTAAACTCACGCCATCTTGGTATGCTTGCACTATCATCTTCAATAAGTCCAAGGACTTCGTCAGGTGGTTTCCATAAGATATGTAGGCCGAGCGGGAAACGGACAGCGATTTTTGCAATGGCGTCTGCTACATGATTTTGATCCCGAACTATGTGCTCTACTTGCCAAATCTCCATGTTCCGTAGCTCCTTTTTACAGGCTTCTAATATGTTATGGGCCGCAATCCTTGGTCTATCCTCTTCGTTTATATATCGTGTGATCATCTCTGCGTCACTTTCAAATATTGCTCCTTTGTAGCCCATTGCTGTGGCTAGTTGGATTCCTTTCAAGAGGGCCCATGCCTCAGCTTCCATTGGCGAGCAGTTGCCAATGTTGTAGGTGAAACCCATCTGCCATTCCCCGGAGCTATCCCTAACAATTCCCCCACAACTGGCCTTCCCTGTGCACGGATTAACTGATCCATCTATATTGACTTTCACCAGTTCCTGTGGAGGTTTGGTCTAGCATACCTGTCTCCATAAATTCTGGTCTTGAAGGGATGGTACGCCTTTCGCCCTTCTGAAGGCTTTGCTAATATCTTCTAGTTGTGATTTAATCCAGGAGATCTTACCATTTAGTGGTCTTTTGGAGTTATTGAAAATTGCCTCGTTCCTCCATTTCCAGAGCCACCATATCGTTACAGCAAATAGTACTCTACTGTCTTGCGGTTGTCTGCCGTTTGTTTTCCTTGATAAGCCTTGCTCTAGCCACCTTTCAAATGGTATGGAGGCACGAGCTGATTGTACATCTGGATTTATTCTTTCCCAAACAGCCTCTGCTTCAGGACATGTTCTCAGAACATGTTCGGCATCCTCTACTATGTTCCTACATCTCCAGCACTTGTCATCGAGGCTTATTTTCCTTTTGACTCTTTCACTGTTGGTCATTATCCTACCATGGACGGCAAGCCACATAAATGTACGTATGCGATTTGGCACTTTTAGTTTCCATATACTGTTCCACTTAGTTGCCTCCACTTGGTTGGTTTCTCCCATAGCCACGTCGTAAGCAGAGCTAACAGAAAAACATCATGTAGTCTCCTTGCTCCAATGGGTGGAGTCTTGCTCGTTTTGGTCTTCACTTAATATGACAGCAGCTAATTTATCCAAAACTTCTGTTGGTAAAAAATCATCAAACTGGTTCCATAGCCAACCTTCCTCCAAACTCCAGTAACTGGCAACACTTCTATTTCTCTCAGAGATTGGCACATAGTTGGTCGCGAGTTCGAACAGTGGGGTGTCGAGAATCCATCTGTCGTTCTAAAAGGATGTATCTTTTCCATTTCTAACTTGTTTTCTGATTCCTTTGTGGAGGATCGGCACGGCCTTCAGTATCTCTTTCCATGCATTGGATTGGTTTATCTTCTGCCTTCAGTTTAAAATATCAGAGCCTGTGATCGCGTATTTTGCCTTGAACACTCTAGACCATAGGCTTTCCTCGTCTTGTAAAAGTCTCCATCCAAGCTTGGCGAGGAAGGCTAGATTCATACGATCTAGTTTACGGATGCCTAATCCCCCATGTGTTTTGCTTCTTGTTACAGTTTCCCAATTGATAAGGTGGCATCTCCTTTCTCCTTCATTGCTTCCCCATAGGAAGCCTCTGATTAGCTTCTCGATGTTTGAGATCACTCCTGTCGGTAGTAGTATTGTTTGCATGTAATAAAAGGGGATTGAAATCAATACGGATTGTACCAAGGTTATTCTGCCGGCAAAGGAGAGGGTTCTTGATTTCCATCCTGCTAGTCTGGATTGTATTCTTTCGAGCACGCCTGCAAAGGTTTCATTTTTGATCCTTCCATGGAATGATGGGATCCCCAGGTAATTTCCCATGTTAGAAACAATTGGAATTCCCACTACTGCAGCTATCCTTTGTTGGAGGCTTCCCTCTGTGTTTTTAGAGAAGAAAAGGGTTGATTTCTGCAAGCTAAGTTTCTGACCTGAGCATTTACAAAATGTATCGAGGCAGGTTTTCATCTCCAGTGCTTGCTGCTCCGTTGCTTCCCCGAAGAGTACCAAGTCGTCTGCAAAGAAAAGATGGGTGATATGAGGTCCTTGTCTGGAAAGTTTTATCCCTTTCCAATGCCCACTGTTAATGGAAGATTGAATAATATGGCTTAGCCTTTCTATGCATAAAACAAAAATAAGGGGTGAGATGGAGTCTCCCTGACGAATTCCTCTCGTGGGTTTGAACCATTCCATTTTCTGCCTGTTCACCAGTACTGCTAGCCTAGGGGAAGAAACGCATTCCAGTATGCGTTTGGTCCATGTATCATTTAAACCAATGTCTTCGACGGTATCCTTGATGAAGTCCCATGAAAGTTTGTCATAAGCTTTTTCCAAGTCGATCTTCATTACCATCCAACCACTTTTTCCTTTTTTGTTCTTCATTGAGCTGAGCACTTCTTGGTAAAGAAGGACATTATCTGAAATTTGTCTTCCCGGTACGAAGCTGGTTTGGTGTGGTCCGATCAGTTTCCTTGACATATTCTTCAATCGTGATGCCATAATTTTGGTTATCAATTTGTAGGAGACGTTGCATAGGCTTATAGGGCGGTATTGCTTGACACTAGTTGGATTGGGGACCTTCGGTATGAGTGAGATCAGAGTATCGTTGCAGCCCTCTTCCAATACCCCAGTTTCAAAGAACAGTTTCACAAATTTGAAGAGGCTTTCCCCAACTATTGCCCAAGTTTTTTGGTAGAAGCCTGCAGAGTACCCATCTGGTCACGGGGCTTTGCAAGGAGCCATTTAGAACAAGTTCTTCTTGGTTTCTTCTAGTGTAAGGGGCAAATCCAGTTCGTTCCATACCGTGTCTGTTAGAACAGGGAAGCAGCCAGACTGTAGAGGATGGTGTCTCGTCCCTGCTTCTTTCAAAAAAAGGTTGGCAAAATATCTGCGTACATGGCTTAATAGTCTATCATGCTCAGTTATCCCTTGCCCATCTTCGTCTATAAGGCTTTCAATTCTTGCGTGATTACCCTTGACTGAGGTGGCTGCGTGATAATACCTTGTGTTCCTATATCCAGAAGTTATCCACTCCTCTCTAGATCGTTGGAACCAAATGAGTTCCTCCTGATAGAGAGTTTCCTCCAATTCCATTTGCAGTTTCCTGTTTAGCTTGATTAAATCGGATCGTGTGCTCTGGGTGACCTTCCGTTGTATGCCTTCGATCCTTGCTATTAGCCTCTTCTTCCTCTGAAAAACATTGCCAAACGTGTCCTTGTTTCAGTTTGTCAGCACTTCTGCTACCTTGCTCTTATTAGATTCTAAATCGAGGTTTTTGTTCCAGTTAGCATCCACCACTGCTTTGAATGTGGTGTGTGTCGCCCAGGCCATATTGAATTTAAAGGATTTTGGCCTGTTCGTCTCCTGATTCGTCCTAGTATCGATCAACAGAGGTGAATGGTCCGATCCAGTGATGGGTAGATGCTGCATGCTGGTGTTGGGAAACTGCAACTTCCAGTTCACATTGCCTAATGCCCTGTCCAATCTGGCTCCTTTGAATGAATCCGAGTTTATGCCCCTCATCCAAGTGAACATAGAGCCCATATAGCCAAGATCTACTAGTCCTTCGTTGAATATCCATTCGTTGAAGTCTGAACACCTGGAGTAGTTGAAGTTTTCTGGGTTGCTGACTTCTTCTCTACATGTAATAGAATTAAAGTCGCCCGCTGTCATCCAAGACCCTTGGGGATCAAGCGTGTTCCCAGAGAGATCAGAAAATAATCTCTTCCTTAGTTGGTGATCTGGGCTCCCATATACCATAGAGATATAACAAGGCTCCAAATTTCTTTCCATAACTTGCACTGATATGTATTGAGGGTGGGTGTTAATAACATTGATGGTGACTGACTTTTTCCATAATAACCCGATGCCTCCTGAGAATCCTACCGCTTCTACCCTAATCCACTCATCAAAGCCAAAACCTGAACAAAGTTTGTTAGCTTGGTTGCTCGAAACTTTGGGTTCTAGTAAACAAATAAAGGAAGGACGGTGAAATGCCAACAACAGTTTTAGGGAGCGCTTGAATGAGGTTGAAGCCGCTCCCTGGCAATTCCAAATGATAAAAATCATTGAGTAGTGGGTGAGGCAGAACACGCCAACTGGCGCTGCCGGCACGCGGCATCAAGGGCAAAATCTGCTGGCTCCTTTGGCACTTCAAGCATGGTTTCTTCCGGACAAGCACCCTCAGTTGGGTGCTCAAGGTTTGGGTCCGGGGGTTCATGACTATAACCCCCTTCTAGGCCAATCATAGGATCTGGGGGGTTATGCCTGTGTTCTTTCTCCAGTCCCATATTCGGGTCGGGAGGTTCGTGTCTATAGTCCTTGGCTAAACCATTCAAAGAAGAGGGCCCCGGGTAGTCGTCATTGTGATAGACTACACTTGTCGTAATGTTGCGCCCCCCATCAAAGCCTCGAACTACCGTATGTTCCATTTCTGCTGCTGCTCTGTTTGGTAATCCTCCTCTTCCCCTTAGTCATCGGAAATACCCTCGACCTCTTGGTTGTTGCTGCCTAAGTATACCAGTTCGGTCTGTTTCCTGTTGGTTATTCACCGCTTGTATTGGTTCCCTTTGTGGTCGATTGGTTTTGTAGTTGGTACGGATTTGTGGTAGTTCCGCACTAGGTTGCTGGAAGGAGACATTCTCTTGAGATGCGTTCTGACCTTGACCGTTCAACTCTTCTTCCAGGCCATCCAGGGTCGTGAATCTAGAATGTACTGCTCTGTCTGGGGCCAGATGCTCTTCGTTTGGAGATTGCATCTGTTGGTCATTTCTAGGAGGATTGTTCGTCTGGTGGTTTGGATTCCTGCCGTTATTGCGTCTATTTCTCCGAGTAACAAGCATCCATGGGCCATACTTTTCTGCAGGCATTGAACTGGACTTTGTCGTTTTACCTGAGGCACCTTCTTGTTCCTGTGTGGTAGGCTCCATGTTTCCTCCACATTGATCCAGTCGGTGGCCATAGATTCCACACTTGAAGCACACCATGTGGATCCCTTCATACTCTACAGGTCATTCCACCCCATCCAAGACAAATCTTGACAGTAGGGGCTTCGAGATATCAAATTCCACACAAACCCTTGCAAATTTACCTATGGAGACTAGGTTGGTGGTGTTGTCAATCTTGATGGGTCGGCCAATACTCTTTCCAATCTTCTTGAGGAATTCTTCATCAAAGTACTCTATGGGAAGAGATGGGAACCGAATCCAAGCCAGTATCTTGTCTAATCTGTTTACTCTTGTGTCGAAGTTGGGACGCCATTCTTGAACTGTCAGATAATGGTCAAAGACCATCCAAGGCCCTCCGTATTTCACATCTTCGTAGTCTTTTAGGGATTCGAATTTGGCGATGAAGAAGTCATGACTTAAGGCAATTAATTCGAACGGAGCCTCAGTCTTCCACATCCTTTGTAGCCTCTGGACTAGGTAGGAGTAGCTCACAGTCCTTCCCAAGATTTTGACGATGAGAGAACGGCGCCAAGGACGCCTCAACCTTTCTTTCTCTTCCTCGGTGACGCGTATAATCGGGTACTCGCTAATGGAAACTTCCTCCTCCATCTCGTCTTCATCAGAGATCTCCTCCTCTTGCATCGGTTGCTTGCCTTCTCGGCGGGACCAAGCTTGGTTGGGCGTTCCTTCCAGTGTTCTCCACTGGCCGGAATTTGGGGTCTCAGTACCTTCTGTGGCCATATTCTCCAGTGTAGCTGGTCCTTCAAGGGAGTCGCGCCCTCTTTTTGTTTTCTTAGTACTTCTTTCGAGAAGATCTTGGTCTTCTGGTGATCGGTTGGTCACCGTCGGCGGGGGGATGGCAGAGAGAGAACCGGGAGTCATCGTGCTCATCGAAGCAGAAACAAACATAAAAGGTAAGACTTTAAATCTTATCAGAAATAATGGGGTCTTTACTAGAAAAATTAATTAGCATGTTTGGTATTATCTTGGAAACATAACAATTAAATTACTTGAAAATTTAATCAACATAATCGGTTCATTTAAACTTTTCCAGAAAAATTTTTAAAATCTCTATATCGTGCTATATACAAACATAAAACTTAAATTAGCAAACAACAGTTATATATACAATCCAATGTATAATGAATCAGTCTATAAATTACAATGCATAACAAATCAAATTACAAATAATCATGAACTAATACACGCACACATAGATTAAATGTGTGCAAACGCGATTAAGTGTGTGCAAATGCGATTGATCTAAGTGACATCGTGAGATCAAATCTTGTGCATCAATCTAATAAATTTAATGGTCTAGATTGATCTAGATTAAGTGTGTGCGAATGCGATTAAATGTGTGCGAACGCGATTAAGTGTGTACGAACGCGATTGATATAGACCATTAAATAATATTAGATGGATGCACACGATTTGTTCTAACGTTCGCAACTAAGCAAGTGTTCTCATTGAAACCGTCATCTCTCTCTCTCTATCTCTCTCTCTCTCTCTCTCTCTCTCTATATATATATATATATATATATATACACACACACACACACACACACACACACACACACACACACACACACACACACAATGGATCAGGTGTGAAACTTCTCCAACGTGAAACATACGAATTAATCACAACCTTTGATCTTGCCAAAATCAACAGCCCATAATGAAGAACAATTAAACTAAAAAAAATAAAAAAAATAAAAAAAAAATAAAAAAAAAATGCAATTACATTATGGTCATTTTGCGTAAGGTCACACAAGGTGCGTAAGTTTAAAGTTTAAGGTGCGTAAGTTTATAGCTTAAGGTGCGTAAGTTTATAGTGTTATGTGTGTAAGGTCATAACTTAAGGTGCGTAAGTCTAAAACTTAAGGTGCGTAATTTTATAGCTTAAGGTGCGTAAGTTTATAGCTTTAAGGTGCGTATGTTTTAAGCTTAAGGTGCGTAAGTTTATAGCTCAAAGTGCGTAAGTTTATAGCTTAAGGTGCGTAAGTTTATAGAAGTGTGTAAGTTTATAGCTTAAGGTGTGTATGTTTAAAGCTTAAGATACGTAAGTTTATAGCTTAAGGTGTTTATATTTAAAGTTTAAGGTGCATAAGTTTATGCTTAAGGTACGTAATTTTATAGCTTAGGTGCGTAAGTTTAAAGCTTAAGGCGCGTCACTCTCTAGTTTAAGGTGCACCAATTTAACTCTTAAGGTGCATATGTTTAAAGTTTAAGGTGCGTAAGTTTATAGCTTAAGGTGTATCAGTTCGAGATACTTGATCATTTGTATCCATGTTGACAGGAACTGCGCTTTAAAAAAAAATCATTTCAGTTTGAGCCGTTGATCTAGATTAGATTAAATCAACGGCTCAAATCTCACCCTATTTTTCACATGGGAGAAGCTTCGCACGTGAACCAATTCCTTTGATCATGCACACATTCCTTTGTAGGCTTTAGTGTTTATTTTATTAGATCTACTATATATATATATATCTGCAATTTTAATAAGAATAAAAAATATTAGGCCTTTAACTGGTAAAAAAAATATTGGTATAATAATTTATTCAAATGAATGGTTGATAGTATTTGTGTTTAAATATTTTTAAATGGTTTTCCTATGATACCTTTAATTATCATTAACTTCCCTCCTGAATAACCGTCACTCCGTTAATTTGAAAGATGCGACTCCGTTAATGTTTCCCTGAATTATTAAACCATTCGCCTCTGCCAAAACACCTTATCGAAGTTCAGCGTTGTTCGTTCCCAGTTTTCTTCATCTCTGTGACCTATCGGCTCTTCATGCCTTAAAACCTCTCCGAAGGGCAACCATGCTAATTTGCAACCTGAGGAACGGGGAACACTATTGAAAATTATGGAATTTCTGACCACTTGATCTTAAATCAAGTTGAAGTCTTATTCCGAGTACTTTTGGTATTCGGAAAAATCTTTGTTGCTATCTTTGACCACTTTTTGCTTTCAACTTGATTTAAGATCACTTTCAGGTGATCGGAAGGAATTTCCAGTAGTGGAAGTTGTTGTTACCCAGCTTGGCCTTTCTTTACTATGGAGTACTTTTTGTGTTTTTCGCAGGTAAACTAAATCCAATTTTAAGGCCTTCTAATAAATAATATTTCTTACTTGGTTTTCTTGGATTGCTGAAAAATTACTACTACAAAGTTGTTTGACCACTTCCGTACATCTCAATTCTTCCATGCAGGTATTAAGAAAATTAGTCCATTGTTATCCCACAAAAAATATAGGAGTAAGCATCTACTAGGCACTAGCCATTCTTTTTTATTGCATTATTTTTGTGGTTGCTTAGATATTAAGTTCAGTAACCGTTTCGTTTTTGTTCTTACAGAATGTTTCATTTTAAATCTAATTTGCTTTAGTTTGTTGTTCTCGACATGCATTTAGGTAATTAATAGCCAGATTTGCAAACCTTGGAGATTGCTTCACCTTTTGCCTTCCTGTTTTTATAATACTATCTAATGATCCTTTAAAATATCAACTGCACGTATATACTATATACTTCTTTACTTTCAAAATATATATATATATATATATATATATATATATATATATATATATATATATATATATATATACTTCTTTAATTTTTTAATAAGAAAATATAATTAATAAAATTATTTCTCTTAATTAATTTATTGATAATGATTATTTTTTTTAATAAAGACATTGTATGGGCAATGTAGCGAATATAATCAATTGATTAATTTGAATGTAAATAATTTTTATACTGGAGAAAAATAAAGACAATATAACTAATGAAATTATTTATCTTATTTAATTTATTGATAATGAATAATTTCTTTTGAATAAAAACATTGTAAACACATAATTATCTTTATCTTTCTCAAATGTAAAAACTATTTATATTCAGAATAGTAAGTGTCCCGTGCGATGCACGGACTATTATATTATTAATTTAACAAATGAACAAATTACACTTTTGGTCCTATGACTATAGGGGGCGTGTTAATTTCGCTCCATGACTTTTAAAACTAACAATTTTGTCCTTTAACTGTGCTTTTTTAATAGATTTGGTCATTCCGGTCAAATCACAGGTGGAAATTGGCCGGAAAAACTTAAACCTTTTCAAATTTTGTATTGATGAGGGCAAAATAGTCTTTTTATTTAAGTTGCTTCTTCTTCTTCACGTTCATCAGCTACGGCTAACAGTTGCCTCTGCTTCCAAGAAAGAACAGCTCCAAGAATCGAAGCCCCAAGTTCAGAAGCAAGGTATGATTTTTATCCTTAGCTTTTTCTTCATGTCTACTGCGTCCATTTCTTGATTCATCTTCCCTAGATCGCACGGTATAAAACTCTATAAGAGATCTAAACTCCCAGAAATATTCTTCCCCCTATTCTAGCCACAACCATCCTCCCAATTCCAATCACGACCAAAACATAATTGTAGTATTGGTTGTGGTCCTGTGGATGATGGTTTATTTGTAGTGTTG